CCAAACCCAAACCCAAACCCAAACCCCCCCCCCAACCCCAAGCCCAACCCCAAACCCAAACCCAAACCCAAACCTTAAAAGTAGAATCAAGGAAATTTATGATCATTGATGCAATTAATTTAAAAAGGTAAGTTCATATGATAATGTTGAATATCATTTAAAAGTCCTTAAATTATTATTTTTCATTTCATATTATTCGATTATTATCGTGTATTATAAATAATTTTTATAGTGTAAATAATAAAAAGACATTTATATAAAAATACATTTATATGTATACAAATATTTTATAGACATCTATTTTTCATTTGAAATAATTCTTTGCAATAGTTATCTTTAAGTTATATAAATGGACGAAGATTTAAAATTTCCTCATTTTGAAAAGCATTTTTATTAAGAGTATTATATTGATTTTTAAAGTGGTTAAAGTTATTTTTCCTTACACTTTATATTGTAAATTTAAATCACATAACTCTTAAAGCATATTATTCGTTTTTCTAAAAAGAAAAAAATCACTTGGTTGATCTTTAAGTTTAAAAATTTTTATTTGAATAAGTATTATCTTAATCGAATTATCATACAAATTTCTAATCATACATTTCGGAGATAGAGTCTATTATTCAAGAAAATTTTGATTGAAGCTTAAAATACATCAAGAAAAAGTGAAAAAAATATTAACAAACTATGCTAAATATAGTAATTAAATTTAATTTAGATTGAACTAAAAGAATGATTTGGTGAATTATTTTGTTTATTATTTTACGTAATTTAACATAGTTTTATGAGCTTTTAAATTAAACTTAGAAAATTCTTGGAAAGGTTAGGGCTGAACTCAATTTTAATTGCAAATTTAGTCTAGAATATATGGAGAGCTTCAATTAGTTTATGGCTAACTTTGCCAATAAATTATTTAGTATTTATTTTGGCATTAACTTGTCTTTTATTTAGATGTTTATAGCAATTCTTAATAATGAAAGAATATGGATAAAAATATTTGATTCATTTGGTGTCCTTATTTTATTATATTACATATTTTGAATCTTGTTTATAGATTGAAAGGAATCAACATTTCTAATTTTTTACAAATAGTTTTCTGATGATATTTGGTTATATGGATTATTTGAAAATAGCAGTCTCTAAATATGTTTTGATTTGTAAATTAGGAATACCATTATACTTTATTGTTAGATTAACATATTAAATAATTAATGATTTTAGGATACAAGATTTAGAAAGTTTAGTATTGCTATGTTTAATGTTTTTCAAATACAAGATAATATTATAAATTTCTTTTGATTAAAAAATTGATGAAAAAACTCATAAATAACAATTAACAATTAAAGAAGAAAGAGAAGTTATACCTATAATTTAAAATTAGTAGATATTTCCTTAATTAAAATAATAAAATAAAGCATAAAATTCCTATTCTCCCTAACATAATCTAAGTGTATTTTTAATAGATTTACCAAGTGAAATGAAATTAATATAATACTCAAATTTGACTAATTTTTAATAAAAACTAAATAAGAGTTTTGATAAATCCGATCATTCTATGAGTTCATTTTATCAAAATCTACTTAATATTTTTCCACAAGGAATTTTAATTTTAAATTCTTAATTATAAGTAAGTTACATGAATAATAAATGTGAAAAACTTTTAGAGTGTTAAGGTGCAGAAACAATATTAGAAAAGGTGAAAAATTGTGTAAATAATGCCAAGATTCGAGATTTTTAATTTGATGATTTCAATGCTTTTTAAGCAAAATAGCAATAAAAACAAATTCATTATAGAATTCTAAAAGAAATAATATGTATTTTGAAAAAGTAAAATAGAACAATCGATGTTTTAGATATAATAATGTAGCCATAAAAATATTAAAGTATTTTAGGAGCCAATTCAGATGCAAGTTTTGTAATTAATTAATTAACTTTTATGTCTTAAATGTTTAGATACGAATGGCTAATATAAAGTGGGTTAAAACATAATAATTCATAGAAAAAACTGAAACTAATTATTATACCAACTGCTATGACTAATCAATAGTAAGAATACTTCTAATCTTAATCTTATATTCAAAGTTCTAGTAAAGTTAATTTTTAAGCAACTAATGACGTTGAAAATCCTGTATTACTTATAATAATAAAGAATATAACTAATAAGCATAAATTTTAATAAATACGAGATGAATAAATAATTCATCATAGCCTTATTAAATCTTTTTCTCATGAATTAAGAACCCCTTTAAATAGTTGTTAACACATGTTAAACTTGATGAAGTCAATAAAAAGTGAAGAGGAATTATAAAAATGCCTAACAATTGCTGAAAATTCGACTACTCTATTGATTCATCAAATAAACGACATTTTAGATTATGCTGCAATTTAATCATATTAATTTTCATATCATATAACAAAATTTTCAATAAATGAAATAGTATAGGAAATAGAACGATTATATAAAGGGTAAATGGAATTTAAAAATATTGCATTTAAAAAAATAATATCCAAAAATTTGGAAGATTTAATAATATGGAATGACAAATAGAGATTATTATAAATATTAGTAAATTTATTAAATAATTCAATAAAATTTACATAGGAAGGTGGTTGGATTCATTTAAGTATAACAGAAATAGCATACTTATATATTAATGTAGAAGTTAAAGATAATGGGATAGGAATAGCTGAAGATTAATTACATTTAATATAGAGTAGTTTATATGATACTTTAGAATTTGGTGCAATTTTGAAATAAAATTCTGAAATTAAGAAAAAAGGATTTGGATTGAGTATTGTAGCAAAACTTATAGAAGGGTTAAGTGAATCATACAAGAATGAATTAATAATATAATCAATAAAAAATTAAGGAACTCTGGTCTCATTTCATATGGAAAATCTACATAGTTAAAATGTCTATTAACAATCGTCTTATTTATTTACTCAATAAACAGGGAAACCTATTTAATCAGAAATATTATTTACATTTAATAAAATAAAATTAGATGATAAAGAAATTGATATAGTAAATAATTCATTTTCTAAAATAAAAAATTAGGAAGAAATGTATGATTAATAATCAGAAAGTTATAAAGCCACTTCAAGATTGAATGATTTTGAAATAAAATAGGAAATCATGTTGCCTATCAGTCCTGAATATTTTTTACATAAAACTAGATAGTCTTTTAGATATTTTTAAGATTCAGAACCTTGTGGTATTTAAAAATAAAAATTAAAATAAATTTGTTAAATTTGTACTCATGTATTAGTTGTTGATGATATACCTTTTAATTAATTAGCTCTTAAAATGATGCTTTAACATTATAACATTCAAGCAGATTCAGTATTTGATGGATTTCAGGCAATAGAAAAAGTTAAACTTAAAATGTAATAACATTGTTAAAATTATCAATTAATTTTTATGGATATTGAAATGCCTGGAATGGATGGATTTTAAACAAGCTAAAAAGTATACTAATTAAAATTATATATTAGATTTTGAATTTGACATAAAAACAATCTACTATAGTTATATGTTCTGCTTATGATACCTAAGAAAATTATATAAAAGGTTCTAAACTTGGTATTGATACATTTCTACCAAAACCTGTTAATTAAAATTAATTGGAATTAATTTTGAGGATAAAATTTGATATTAAAAGCAGAGAAAATGAACATTTTATTTTTGTATGATGAATTTTATATAGAGGAAATTTTATTATTTAAATTAAAAGTAATACTCATTGGATAATAGTTTGTTTCATTTAGTAATAATTGAAAGATCAGAGTGATAAAAATATGACATGGTTGATTATACAATTTATTTCAAAAATCAAGTTTTTTATTACCATTATCACTGCATTTATATTTATACCAAATACAAAATGACATTTGATAACAATCATATTAATAATGGTGTCTGAACATTTTTCTTATAACAAAGTTTTCTTTTAAGATCCCAAATACAATATGCGGCAGGACATTTTCCGGTTTCTTTTGCTTATAATTATATACAAGATGAATCCCAACACTAACCATTTTACCAAGTACATGCCACCTAATTAATTAAATTGTATACAATCTTCAAACATTTATCATTACTTAATTCCTCTGTGCATTTTTTAATGAAACAAGACGAAGAATTTGCAAACCATTTACAATTTGCATTTTTACAAATTGTTTCATTTAATAATTAACAACAAATATTCTAACATTTTGATGGCTACCAATAATCCCACTCACACTTTTAATTCTCAATGCATTATTTTTAATCTACTATTTCATCAAATTAACTTTCAGCAAAAACTAATTTTACAACTATCCAATAAAATATTAGATTTGAACTACACATTTTCATTAGGATTAATATATAAAAACATTTTATTCATTTTTAATACAATAAATAATGATTATCATTTTTATTAATTAACTTCAAATAGGGATGTTAGTCTTAAAATAAATAATCTATTATTTAACTATTTAGATCTTATCTCTGTGTTTCAATACACTTCTCTAATATATTAGAATTATCTTTGAAAATTAAAAAAAATCAACATTTCTTTAATCTTTGAATTATAACTTTTATATCATTCTAATTGTTGAAAATCTTTAGGGAATATAAATTATTTACAAACTTTAAAATTTCTAAGAATTTTTAAAGAGTTTATCAAATTGATAAGTTTTTATTTAAAAAACATTAAGTTTAATCAGTTTAAGCATGTAATTTTTATTAATCAACAATAATTTTTAGATGATAATATATATAAACGATTAAGACTTTGATAAATTTTGTAAATTATTACTTTTCTTTGATAGAAACTTTCAAAAATAATGGATGAATTCATTAAATTAGAATAAAAAGGAATTATTTTAAATAATTTATTTCAAAGAACAAGTTAATAATAAAAAATATGTTATCCCCTTAAAATTTATTAGTTTGTATATAAAATAAATTGTTCCTTAAACTTTCTATATTATAACTAAGATATTATATGTAGCTTTAAATCTCTTAATACAAATTGCTTTAAAAAATAGGATGTGGATCTAAACATCTTATCTATAAAGTTGAATCAAAAGTAACTTTTCAAATATTTGCTTTAAAACTTGAAAAGAGACCTTAATCAGATTAAATTGAAAATGAAATAAGAATCCTTCACTATTTGTAGAATATTGAAGGAATTCCTAGATTGATACAATTTGGAATGAGTGCAGATAAGAAGTATAATTTTATTTAATTGTTTTCAGATACTTCTTAATCTATCCATTATTACATAGTAATATGTAAGCCTTAGCTAAATAACAAAAATTTTCTTTGTCCTTAATTTTAACAATCGGTTTAAGAATAATCGAAATTTTAGAAAAAGTTCATAAAAATAACATCCTGCATCTTGATATAAAACCAGAAAATATAATGATATCTGAACAAATTTAGAATGATTAAGATTTTCTAAAACCTGGATTTATTCAATTGATTGACTTTGGACTATCTTAAAAATTTATTGTAAATTCAAAGTCTTTATAAGATGTTTTTATTGGCTCTTTAAATTTTGCTAGTAGATCTTCTCATAGAGGAACACATCTTGGATACAAAGACGATTTAGAAAGTTTATTATATGTATTGTATTACTTAAAAGATTGTATTAAATTTAGATTATAAAAATTAGTGAAATTACCATGGTCTGAAAAAGCTTAATGGGGATTAAAAGATGTTGATATAGAATAAATTGGAAAAAAAAAGTCTATATTTTTCAAGACAACCCTCATAAAAAATTAAAACACTAACAATTTCTCGTCCTTTATGTTCTATATTGATGGATTAAGGTATGATTTAATGCCAGATTATGATTACATTAAACAAATATTTAAGGAAATGATCTAAAATTCTGATTATTAACATAAATCACTATCATTATCAATAGAAGATTAAACATTAGAAGGAGATCTAGAAATTGCTAAATTTACTTAATAAATTAACTCCGATGAAATAATTGTTGATACCTTAAGTGAAAAAAAAGTTATCCGAGTCTCAAATTTAATTAGAAAATACACAACAAACTAAATCAAATCCATTAAAGATATTGAATAATAAAAATGAAAATAATTTTACATAATCATATTATTTAAATGAGAAAAAATTATGTTATTTAATATAAATAAATAAATATAATAATTATATATATTGATTATTTTTCAGACATAATTTATTTTTATTAAGGTTGTCGTTGTTTGAAATTAGAATTTTTTCATTTTGTTAAATTGCTTCATTAAAAGTATACCATTTAGTTTTAATTCATGTATAAGGATTGCTGCAAATAAATTTTATATATTTTAGCNATGATAAGTAATTAGCTTAAAATATTATTTTATGCTTACCTTTAATGATTAATGCTTTATTCAACTATTTTAATTGTAATTTATCATGCTCAAAAATAGATTTATGGATATCTTTTTGGATGAATTAAAACAAAATAAGTTTTTATTTTATAAATTTAATTTGACTTCATACTTCATATAATTGTAGAATTGATTATTTTAATGATTTGATTGAGAAAAGAATAAAGTAAATCAAAAACTTTTTAATAAATAATATAAATATATTTTTATTTTATCTCCTCTTAAGAATTGAGTACTATAATATTCATAACTTTTATAGATAGAGAACAAGATTATATCATTAACACTATTTAATAACCATTTCATAATTTTCATTTCTGCATAATATCAAAATTAAATGCGGATTTTATTTATAATTTTAATATTAATCCTAATCTAACTTCTTATTTTAGGATAAATTCTAAAATTATTATCTAGCCTTGAATTAGCTTAATCATATAATTCTTTGAATCTAATTAACATTGTATGGCATTTATTTAAATAATTAATTTTCACTATTCTATATTATTGTATATAGTCACAATTTCAATTAAGGACTAATTTCACTGTAATTTAATATTTTGTGCAAATGCTTATATTTATCTTTTAGCATTTCCATAATTACCTCCTTCTATTCACTAATTTATTTGAAGGATTTATTAAGATATTGTATTTTTCAATATTGGCCTAAATGATGATTCAAAAGACCTTTCTAAATATTTAATTATTTCTGACTATTGACCCTTAGTTTTATTGATTAAGATTTCTATTTATTACTCAAACATTGAGTATTTTGAATCTAATCATATTTTTAATTTAAAGAGAGGATACAATTTTTTCAAATTAATTCATTAAGATTATAATTATATTTATAAATAAATAAAAATCTACTTATAAAAATAGTATTATAATAATTTTTCAACTTTATTAAACAAATAAGTTGGTTTCATTTAATTAAGCATTTCCTGATTTTTAGTTCTAAAATTAATTTCATTTTAAACTAATTAAATAAGTATACTAAAAAATTCATAGCTATTAATATTAATGATTTAATTTTTTATCAGATCATAATTTTAGGATATCTTTAACAACCTATTCGAATGACATTTTTATTATTTTGTAATTTATATACTCAATTTATATAGTATTTAATGTTAGAAAAGAAATAAATTTTAGATCCTAAACATTCATCAAAATTCAATGTATATAATTCATTTCTTAAAAATTTATGTATCCATTATTTTTTTGATCCCCTTTATTAGGTTAAATAGAGAGTTATTAATTTTATTCTAATATTCCTCATTGATATTAAAATTTGAAAAGATCGAAGGTATAATAATTTTATTTTATGAAAAATTAAAAATTATCAAAAATACTTTTAAAAAAATTAACTTCTTTTTAATTCAAAGTCAAGAATTTGAAATTGTATCGATAAAATTATTAGAGATATAAATTCTAAGTTAAGGCTAAACAATTTTTACCTTATTTGTTTATTTATCTTAATATTAAATGAATTATTTATTTATATATTATTAATATTGAAAATAATAATAACATAAATAAATTTTAATAATAATAGAATTTTAAATTTCTTAAGTATTTAAAATAGAATATTGCATGATACCATGAAGTTTATTGTAATCAGAGATTGTTTCTTCACCTAATTAATTCATTAACTGAATATTATAATGATATATATAATATTAAATTAATTATTTAAGAAAACATTCATTAATGTAATCACTGACTTTATTAATATATCAAAAGTAATTTTAAAAATCTCATGATCAAACAACAAAAATTAACAATAATTAAGTTTAAGATTAAGAAATAAAGTTATGAGTGTTATTCCTCATAATTAATATTTCAATTTTTTTCATATATACTTTACAAATAAAATCTTGTAATGTTTGCATAAAATATAATTGATTTATCTAACCTTGTTAAAGATAAAGGAAATGTCTTTACTTTTCGTAAACTAGAAAAGAAAGACGTTTTTGAGACATAAAGAATGATGATAAAAGCATTTCTTTCCGAAAATCCTGTAATTAAAATATTATAGGCTAAAGAAGAGGATATTAAAATACTTTAAGCTGAAGAAGTATTGTAAATATTAAATATTATAATAAACTTAGTGATAGGATAATCTAAGAAAATCTTTCATTCGGAGCATTTCATGGAAATACTTTAGTATCAGCTTGCTTAACTTGTGATATAAAAACTAATATGTAAGCAGAAGGAGTACAAATAACTCACGTTGCATCTGAGATAATAGATACTATTGATATTTTATTGGGTTAATATATTTCCTCCAGAGAAAGAGACTTTAAGGAAGTTGCTTATTTGAATCATTTAGGAACTCATTCTGATTACTTAAAATAATAATTAGCTGTTTCTTGTGCCTATCTATCAATTGAAGAATGTAGAAAACAAGGATTTAAGTTTCTATTAACTGAGTCGTGGCATTAAGGGACATATAAGACATTTAGCAAAATATTTAAACATTTTGAAGTTATTAAGCAAATTAATGAGATTAAAGAACAATAAGTCAATCTAATCTCATTGATTGCTTAATTGAATTGAAGTTCTAATTTACATAAATTATTTCATTTAATATTTTAAATAATAAAATTTATGAGTCATATTATATCTATATTTATCATATTAAAATCAATAAAGTATTTATTTATTACTTATTCATAGATTATTTTTTTTAAATCAATCAAAATTATTATTTTCTTTACTGTTTTTTTTCATTCTATTTTATCATTAATTAAGATTATTTTTGAAAACCTTTAAAAAAAGATTTTAGCTTTTTCTGTGCTTTTAACCATGTTTTCAATTGTAGTAATCAAAAAATTCCTATAAAAGATATAAAAATGTACTTTTAATCACATAATCGTAAAGGAAAACAAGTTCGAATTAGCAAATATTTCATAATTATTTTATATATTAAATAATTAATTTTTGTTATAAAATAATTTATTATTCAATTTGTTAATTATAATTAGATATCAGATAAATTTAGTATTAATTTAATCTCAAATAAGTAGTATTATTTAGTTTTCATAGAATTTGATATATATTGTTTGAATTATTTTTTTATTATAAATCAATAATTTAGAGTAATTTTTTTTAACAGAATGAATTTATGTAAAGGATTTTAACACTAAGAAAATACATGTTTATAATTAAATAATGATGAATGAATTTGAAATAGTTTGAGAATTAATTATTCAAGATTATTAAAAAGTATTTTACCTGATCTAAATTTATTATTAGTGTATCATAACAATAATAACATATTATTTCATCTTTTTCAAATACTTAAATAAAAAATAATTAAAAGATTTAAGATTCTGATTCCAAGAATTTTTGAGTCATGGCCTGTATTTAATTAAAATTTTAAAATATTTAATTATTTGGTATATTTTTAATATTTATAGATTAATATTGAAGAACTTTACAAACTAAATATGGAAAAGAAAGCAATAATAGATTATATAATCAATTCACATAAATAGGTCTCAATAGATTTTTACTAAAAATAAAAAGTAACAAAAAAAAAAAAAGAATTTTTAATAATGTCAAAAGGGAATCATGTTTAGAATTAAATAATTAATAAGTTATAATAATATAATTTATTAGTTGCATAGTAATTCTAAAGAATATTTGATTTGTATTTAATTCTTGATAATAGTTTTATATTGTTATATAAATAGCATCGTCATTATTAAATTAATACGTAATATCAGCAATTTTTATATGATTGCAAGTAAATGAATAGTAGTGATGATGAGATGTTACATAGAGGGTAAGAACTGAATGTTATTTAAAAAATATAGAAGGTTGAATGTTTAAAAAAGAATATATTTCTATAGAATGGTGAAAGTTACTTGTTAATAATATAAAATTAGAACATTAAAAAACATTTTCTTAGTAGTTGTATATATGATTAGAAGGTATAATTATGTTCAATATTCAAAGAACAAATAGAAAAAGTTAGTATAAATAAAAATGAAAGGAGAACAAGAGAAAATAGATTTTGTCTTATGATATTAAGAATTATGTAGAAAGATAGTCATGAATGAGAAATTATTAGTTTAGAGTACTAAGAATAATCTATCAGTACGAATTTTAAGAAAGAAAAAGTTTGTAGAAAAAAAATTGAAGAGTTATATTCTATTGAGAATATAGAAAGGAGTGTTTCATTAAAGGGTATAGAGAATTAGAATAGTTTTAAAATTAATATTATTTGTTAGGATCTTCAAGAATGGAAATATCAAGAAATATAATAAATCATATTGTCATATTTTATAAGTATAGTATCTTAGTTTGGCATTGAAAAGGAAATATTATAAATGAAATTTGATATTAATAATTTTATAATCATTTTATGTTTTAAATTTAGAATAGAGATGAACAAGATACAGGAACTTTAGAATAAAATCTGAAGTAAAAATGGCTGCCATTTTAAATAAAGGATACTCAAATTGCTGTATAAACTCTAAATAAATTAAAAAATGAAGTATAAAAGCTAATGATTTCGTTTAATGAATAAGGTTTTAAATTTATAGAAGACTTGGATGTTCAAATAGAATATTTGAAAACTAAATCAAGTTAAATAGGAAAACTAATATGTGAATTACCTAATAATGCTTATTAAGAGCCTTAGAAAATAAATTAAATGATTTCTGAGTAATTAATAGAAGTGGAAAAGATATAAGAAATGTGTAAATATAAATTGAGAACTCTTATAGATTCTGAGATTTTGAACAAATGTTTTTATGAAATTCAACAATTAAACTTTAATGATACAATAAAAAGATTATATAAAATATTTAATCCACTTTTATAAGAATAAAATCAAAATTGGATTTGTGAGAAACATAAAAAATAAATCAAATTTGTATAATTAAATGGAGAGATTTCAAATAAGTTAGCTTGTGATCAATGTATATAAAATAATAGATATGGATAATATATAACACTATAGGAATTATAATTTCAATGGAATCGAGTTACAATAAAAACTTTAAAAAAATATAATTACTGTTAACATGAACTTTTAAAAAATTCAAATGGAATGTTATTTGAAATTTAATCTTTAAGATAGAATTTTAAAAAGCTTTTAGAGTAAATTAATTTATAATTGAATTGTCAAAATACATTAGAAAGTGATTAATTATAATAATAATATCAGATGATGTAAATAGATTGGTTATAATTATCTACAGCATAATTAATAGATGTTGCTTATATTTGTAGTTAATAGAATTTTGATGATGATATTGAAAAAGAATTCAAAACTAAAAATATATTTATATCTTAGATGTTAAATGAAACTAAAAAATTTTCAAACATGCTTAAAATTTAATATGAATCATTTCTAAAATATTGGATTAAACCAATAGATAATAATATTTAAAATGAAGAGATTAATGAATCAAAAAATGAAGCTAATCCATAAAAATATTAATTATTAGAATAATATAATATGAAAGAAGAGAAATGTTTATCATTTGCTTTTAATGGAGATTCTAGTATTTTAGTGGTTGGTTACAATCGATTTATTAAAGTATTTTAATTTTAATAAGGTTAATTAACATAAACATAAATATTAGATGATCATAAAGATTATATAAGATGCTTATATTTTATGAATAGAAGTAATTAATTTATATCAGGTTGTAATGATTTTAAAATTATTATCTGGTCTTGTGATAGTAATAATTATTGGTATGCACAATAAGTATTAGAAGGACATACGGATTATGTTAGAGCTGGGGTTATTATGAATAATAGAGAAGATTTAATTATTTCTGGAAGTGATGATCGTACGATTAGATTCTGGTCTAAAAAAAATAGATTATGGAGTTGTAAATAAATATTAAGTGGTCATTCTAAAGAAGTTAGAAGTTTAAGTCTTAATCCTTCATCTACTTAACTTATTTCATGCTCAGCTGGAACATAAATCTTTCTTACTTAATATTCACCTTATTCAAAACAATGGTGTAACATTTAAATTATATAAACTGAAAAAAGTGGATATAGTTTAAAATTTATAAAAGAAGATCTTTTCTCTTTCTAACCTTATGATTAAGGAATTCTATAAATTTATTAATTAGATTCAAGAAACAGAACTTTCTAAATTATTCAAAATCTTCAAGTTAAATCAAAAGATAATAGATGGGACTTCTTTCCATAATAATTTATTGAAGATAAATCTATTTTACTTCACAAAAATGGAAACACAATCAATATATTTAAATTTAATCGTGAAAATAATTAATTTACTATTGTTCAATCCATTCCAAACTCTGATGTTTATCTATATGGTGCCCTGACTGCTGATGCATAATATCTAGTCACATGGGATACTGATAGTAGATGCATTAGAGTAAGAAAATATCAATAATGAATTATTATTATCAATATTTTCTTATTTCCAATATTTAAATCATATTACTTATTTAGTTTTATTATCTATTTATTTCTTAATCTTTAAGTTAGTTTTATTAAATCTTATAATATATTTATTCTTTTAAAAATTATATTTACTATAATCTATTATATAAGAAAGTTCAAATATGTTCAAATTCCTTATTTAATTTTTAAATTAGAGAATATTAATATAGACTCTACATATTCTTTCGATTATTTCATTTATTTATATAATTAATTAATAAAAATATTATAAATATATTCATCTTATTAATGTAAAAATAATTGATGGCTGAGTATTAAAAATATATTAATAGCTTCTAAATTATATATGTTGATACTTGTTGATATGATATAATAATAATTTCATTAAATATAGATTATTAGTAAAATTTTCCTTAAATATTATAATATTGATAAAAGACATAAAAACAAAAAAAATAATTTAAAATATAATCATAATTAATGATATAAATAAGTATCGATAATTTACATTGTGGTTAAAACCATAACCAACCAGTAATAAAGATAGCTATGGATTCGAAATATGAAAAAGAGGAAAGATTATTTTGTCAAGAATGTCTAAACAACAATTAATATAAAGGAAATTTGATAAAAATTGAAGAATTTGAAAAGTAAATATAAGAATAATCAAATAAGAAAGAATAAATAATAAAAAGTGAAATAGAAATAGCTAAAAAATATGTGGATATTTTGAAATAAAATTGTCTAAATTTAAAACAAAGACTGATTTCAGAATTAGATAGAATAATTGTTGAAAGTGATAAATGGTTATTAGAATTAAATGAAATAGTTGATAAAAACAATAAATCGAATTTTGTTTAAGAATGGTGGGATTATAATAACTATTTAAAATCGTATCCAAAAATATTTAAATCTAAAATCCAAAAGTGTCATAATATTTATATTAAGAAATTATTTGAACCTCTATAAAAATATGTTTAATATGATGAGGGGAAAAGATGCTTAGAAATATTATAAGATTTAAGGATATAAGATTAAACTTAAATATAAATAAAATAAAATACATTTGATAAAATACAAGAGAATAAGGAAAGATCAGATGAAAGTGAAATAGAATTAAAATTAATTGATGATTCTATAATTTAAAAATAAATGTGTTATGCTATAGATATAAATTCAGCTTGTTCTCTAATGATTTCTGGTAAGAATGAAAATATAGTTTTATGGAATTTTAAAAATGGTAAAATAAGTGAGATTGTAACTTTAAAAGCACATGAAGATGATGTACAATGTTTGAAATTTAGTAAAAGATAAAATAGTTTTATTTCAGGATCGAAAGATAATTCACTCTATTGTTGGAAAGTAATTAATAATAAATAATAATGGATTCATTCTTAACAATTTAAAGTTCATAAAGATTGGATAGAATGTTTTTTATTAAATTAAAATGAAGATTAATTAATTGTCGGAAGTAAAGATAATTCTATAACAATTTGGAATGTAGATTTTAAAAAGAATAGATTAATTTATTAGTATACATTAACAGAACATTATAATAAAGTATGTTCATTAAGTTTAAATTAATCTGAGACATAACTAGCCTCTTGTGGTTATGATCATTATATAATATGGGAGAGAAATTAATAAGATTAATGGTAAATTAAATATAAATAGGAGTAGAAAAATAAAGGTGAGAAAATTAAATTCATAAATGATAATCAATTCATATGGATAACTGAATAGATTGAATAAATATAAGTTTTTGAAAAATATGAAAATATTTATAAAGAAGACTTAAATAAATGTTTGCAACTAATTGATGATGATTATAATTGGGATGAAAGTCTATTCCCAATAATTTACAACATTTAAAAGAATATTATTGTATTAAGATAAAAAAGATATATTTATTTTATTAGACAAACTGAAAATGGGTATCTTAAAATTATTAAAGATTTAAATTGCGATTATGCATCAATTTATGGTACAATTACAGATGATGGATTATATTTGATTATATGGAATTATAAATCAGATAAGTATTTAATTTATGAATTATAATATAAATGAATAATAGTTGGTATGTTTTCCAATTTTATTTTCAATTTTAATACAAATATTAGAATTAAATAACTAATTGGAAAGATATTTATTTAATTATTTATTATTATATTACTAAATAAATTATAATTATGTAATCAATTTAAAACAGAATCTATAAGAAATTAATTTACAGAATTTATCAAATCTAAGTATTAATAAAAAAATGAAATCAATTTATGTAAAAATATAAATATTTAATCTAAATGAACTCAAAACAACTTCAGTTACAACAACGTCCACAAAAACAATTTTAAATACATCAACAACAAACTCAAAAATAAAACTTATTTTATGATGATGGCAAATCTTTAAATGTTTAACTATTTAAAACATTGAAATAGCCTATTCACAATATTCCTTCAATTAATTAAATAATCAATTTCCATCCAAATTAACTCAAAAACCCTTTCTAAAGTCCTCAACAAAAATATCAAATGGCTAATAGATAATTAAAATAATCTTAATAATCAGCCTCTGCAGTACGAAAAGACATCAATTAAAACTAAAATAATAATCAAATAATAGATAATATTCGATATTAACATTATTCTCCATAAATTTAAAATATGTTACCTTAAAGAATAATATAATAATCTCACAACAATTAAAACAATTAAATGATTTAATTTTAAAGAAATACAAATATNTGAGAAAATTAAATTCATAAATGATAATCAATTCATATGGATAACTGAATAGATTGAATAAATATAAGTTTTTGAAAAATATGAAAATATTTATAAAGAAGACTTAAATAAATGTTTGCAACTAATTGATGATGATTATAATTGGGATGAAAGTCTATTCCCAATAATTTACAACATTTAAAAGAATATTATTGTATTAAGATAAAAAAGATATATTTATTTTATTAGACAAACTGAAAATGGGTATCTTAAAATTATTAAAGATTTAAATTGCGATTATGCATCAATTTATGGTACAATTACAGATGATGGATTATATTTGATTATATGGAATTATAAATCAGATAAGTATTTAATTTATGAATTATAATATAAATGAATAATAGTTGGTATGTTTTCCAATTTTATTTTCAATTTTAATACAAATATTAGAATTAAATAACTAATTGGAAAGATATTTATTTAATTATTTATTATTATATTACTAAATAAATTATAATTATGTAATCAATTTAAAACAGAATCTATAAGAAATTAATTTACAGAATTTATCAAATCTAAGTATTAATAAAAAAATGAAATCAATTTATGTAAAAATATAAATATTTAATCTAAATGAACTCAAAACAACTTCAGTTACAACAACGTCCACAAAAACAATTTTAAATACATCAACAACAAACTCAAAAATAAAACTTATTTTATGATGATGGCAAATCTTTAAATGTTTAACTATTTAAAACATTGAAATAGCCTATTCACAATATTCCTTCAATTAATTAAATAATCAATTTCCATCCAAATTAACTCAAAAACCCTTTCTAAAGTCCTCAACAAAAATATCAAATGGCTAATAGATAATTAAAATAATCTTAATAATCAGCCTCTGCAGTACGAAAAGACATCAATTAAAACTAAAATAATAATCAAATAATAGATAATATTCGATATTAACATTATTCTCCATAAATTTAAAATATGTTACCTTAAAGAATAATATAATAATCTCACAACAATTAAAACAATTAAATGATTTAATTTTAAAGAAATACAAATATACATCACTAATTAGATTGGTTGAATTAACAAAATAATGATTAAGTTATATAAGATTAATTCGACATAAAAAGGGCTATGATTCGACCATAATTCAATAGTTTTAAAACAACTGAGTATCTAAAAAAAAAATAATAATTATTTTAAGAACTTCGAAATCCATAAATAATTACATATGATAACGATGATTATATAGATCCAAAAGATAAGTAAATAAATAAAAATTAATCTATAAATGATCTTATAACTAAAGTATCTTTCGAAATAAAATGCTTATAAAAAGAATGCAAATTAAAAATTGAAGAATCATAATATTTACCTGCAATGATAAGTATTAAAAGTTAAGAATTAGATTCTGTAGATAATGAAATGAGAGTTGGAGTAGATTTGGTATATTATATATAATAATCAATAGATTTGTTTAATAGATAGAAGTGGAAGTATGGCAAAAGAGAAAATTAAAATGGTTTAACAAACTCTAATTGTTTTACTTGATTTTTTAGGTGATTAAGATCGTCTTTAATTAATTATATTTCATTAAAAAGCGAATTAATTGACTCCATTAAAATGTGTAACTTAATAAAATAAAGAATATTTTAAGACAATAATTAATTAAATATTTGCTTTAGGAGGAACTAAAATATCTGAAGCTACTAATATAGCATTTTAATAATTAAATAATCGAAGATATAAAAATAATGTAAGTTCAATCTTTTTATTATCTGATGGACAAGATCCAGAAGCAGCAAATGAAATTAAATAATAAATTGATATTGTTAAAGATCCATTTACATTACATACTTTTGGATTTGGAGATAGTCATGATGCAGAATTGATGACATCTATATGCAATTTAAAAAATGGAAGTTTCTATTTTGTTTAAGATATCACATTATTAGATGAATTTTTTGTAGATGCTTTAGGAGGATTAATTTCTGTTATTGGAGAATCAATTCAAATTTCAATTAAATCTAATCCAGATTAACCATTTTAAAATATTTAAATAGCAAAAACATATGGAAATATGTGGTAAAAAAATAATTAATCTTATTAAATCAACTTTCCTTAATTAATTTCAGGAACTAGAAAAGATTTTGTTTTTGAAATTTTTATACCTAAATTTACAGATAATGTAAACAATTAAAAAGTTAAAATTATTGATGCAAATATTTAAATAAAAAACCCATTAAATGGAGAAATTATTTAAAAAGTAACAAATTTACATTTAACTTTTTTTAATCCAAATTAAGAAATACCTTCTATAGAGGAAGATTCTGAGGTTTTAACTTAATATTTCAGAGTTAAAGGAACTGAGGCAATTGATGAAGCTAGAAAAGCATGTGAATTAAACTAATTTGAAGATGCATAATCACGTATTAATCATATTTTGTTACAAATATAATAAAATTAGAAGGCTGCTTCATTATGTGCTGGAATTATTTAAGATCTAGATTAAGCAAAATAAGCATCTTTAATCACTTCATACAAATCTTTTGGATAAAAGTAAATGTATTAAATGGTCACAAACAATTATCTTTAAGGAGGAATTAATTCAGTTTTTTCTGCAAACGGATAATAATTACAATAAAAATAACCAGCTCTTTATTCAAATAAAATCTAATAATTTATGATGAATAAAGTTCAAAATCAAAAATCAAGATAGAATTATTGAAAAATTTATAAATTCATCTTCCTAATTTATACAATTTATTTATATTATAGAAATTGAATTAATATTCTTTTTTTATTTATTTTATATATATTTATCTATCATAAAATATTGTGTATATATTAGAGAAATGTATACTTAAGTTAGTTTACTATAAACTGACTTTTGTAATTTGAATATTAGAAAAATAGGTTTAATAAATTATTCAATCAATTTTTTAAAAAAAGATCAACTAAAGATAACTTTTAGCCTCATCTTCAAAATTTCTAAATAAATAAATTTTGAGGTTTCAAGATCACTTTAATTATATTATTATATTTCTTATAGAGTCATAAATATTCAAATATTAAATTTGCTATCATAAAATAGGTTAATTTATAAAAATAAAAAATTCGATTTGTGAAATATCTTAAAAACTCTATTTATATTATATTTATAGTATGTGTCAATAATTAAAAAAATCTAAAATATTTAACTATTTATATGTGAATTTCGTAATGATTCAGTTATATTCAATATTGGACATGTTATATTATTGGTGATAATGCATTTAAGTATTATTCTACAGTTTCAATCTGATTTATTTCTTAACAAAAGGATATGATATGTTTTTCTGATGAGAGTTTACTTTTACTTAATAATTCTTAAACTTGTTGCTATTAATATAAATAAATTATTTACAAAATCATTAAAATAATCATAAGCAATTAGTAGTTTAAGTTATAATAATTTCTTCAAAAACTTCAATCCATTAGTTTAACATTTCAATTAATCTAATTTAATAACACAATCAGCAATATAGAATTAAAAATGTTAATTAAAATTTTTACTTCTTTCCCTATACATAAATTCTTCTTTCAGAGCTTAAGAATCACATAAAATAGTTTTTCCAGCTGCTTACTCACAGAAATACCATTTTCTAGATTTAATAATAATAAAAGTTACTAAGCTTCTTTCAAATATTCTTTTAGATAAAAGGATATTAAATTAAGTTCTATGTTATATAATTCTTCTTCTTCCTTTTAACGTGAGATTACAGATTGTAAGAGTTTTTCTTCTAAATTGTTATAGATTAATTTAATAATAAAAAGAGCACTTGGAGATAAGATTAAATTTTCATTATTATTTTAGAATTTTGAGTAATCTTCAATAATTTGTTTTAAAAATTGAAGGATTTATTACCAAGTAGATTGATAATAAGATGTAATCATCAAAATTGAATCTGAGTTAGCTTATTAATTATTGATCATATATTAATAAATACTAAAAGATACTTATTACCAATCAGCTCTTTTTTAAGGATCTTCAATTAACATATTTTTAATCAATTCTTATAAAACTTTATTAACTTTAATTGGACTATTTTCCATTTTTCTTATGATATCAACTCTCTAATCCTCCACTCCATATAAAATGTTATATAATACTACACCTAACGAATAAATATCTGCTTTATAAGGAGAATACCATTTTTAAGATCTAACCTCTGGTGCTACATAAGCTGGAGTTCCAACTCTTGATGATGTTGCTTAATATAAATCTTCTAAATATTTTGCTAAACTAACATCAGCTATTTTTATGCAATTATCTTTTATTAAGATATTTTCTAATTTAATATCTCTATGACAATAATGTAATTCATGAAGACTATATAAATTATTATTAATTTTAACCTTTTCTCTCCTTCAAAAATTTATATAAAAATATCAACAGCCTCTTATTCTTCCAATCTTTTTCCAGGTTACTTTTCCAAATATTCTTTTAGATTTGCTAGAAATTATAATTTCAATTTTTATTACAATCACATAAATCTAAAACAATATTAAAATGGTTCTAAGTTTCAAAATTATCTATTAGTGATATAACATTTTTATAATTTTTTATCTTGCATTTATTTAAGATTTCAATTTCCAATTCATATAATTATCTTAATTTTTCTCTTGTTAATGTATCTGATCTTTGTATTTTTGATATTTGTTTTAATGCTACATATTTATTCGTCTCACGATTTTTTGCTTCATAAACCTAAATCAAATAATTATTATTACTGTACACATTAGACCTTATCCTAATATTTCTACTTGGTTGCATATATAATTTCCAATCAACTTTATGCTAGCTTATGACATATACTATTTATTTTATAGATATATAAATAATAAAATAAAATCACTATAATTTATAAGTTGCTTATAATAACCAAAATAAATAATTATTACATATATTTATTTAAGTTCCTATTTCTATTTGTATTTTATGATTTATTTGTTGAATAACTAATCAAATCGACTTTATATGATGTTTTAATTTCATATAAATTTCATACAAATATTATATTATTATAATTAAAACTCTAATAAAAATTATGCTATTACTTTTATATAATAAGTTAATAATTATAGTTATTACAATTACTGAATAGAATATAAAAGTAATTGATTATTTTAAATTTAAATAATTTCTATTTTGTTTATAAATTATGAATTAGTTATATAAGATATTTTCATTCTATTTATGTTTCTGAAATTTGAATTGATAAAAAAAAACTATAATTTTTAGTGATGCCATAATTTATTTATTTGAAATAAAAATAATTTATAAATTTTTTATTATTTTTGTTTATATTGAATAACCAATATATACAATTAATTAGATATAATACTTCATCTTAAATATTTGGGAGATTAATTCAAATTTATTAGTTATATAAAATAAAAATGATTATCATATTCCAATTATTTTATATAGTTCATACTTTATATTTATTGGAATTAAGATAAGATAAAATATTCATAAATTTAGATGCTTCTCATTAAGCTTATATAACTTTTTAAGGTGTAGTCTCTTACATTTAGGATGAAAATTAATATTTAGATTGTCCTTATCAATTGTTAGCCTGTTGGTGTTAAATAAATAGTAATATTGAGAATGAGAAAAATCTTTATTAATTAAAATTAGGCATGTTTTAAGTTTATGATGATGGAAAGCATTCTTAAAATACTGAAATAATTACTTTTTTTCATAAATTCATGGAAGATTTAGATGATGACACACAAAATAACTTTATATCATTAAATCCTTTCTCATCATATTTTAATTCATTTGTTTATTATGGGTATTCTTTATGTATTTCTAAAGAAGATGCTTATTTATAAACTATGTAAAATGAATTTTTACACAAAAAGGAATCTCAAATTTTAGGAATAAAAAGTAAATTTTATTTTGAAGAATCACAATTTTCAATAAGAATTTCTTATATATAATATGGTTAGAATATTTTTGATATTTCAAATTATTCAATTTTTTTAGATTTTTAATATGAAACTAATTTTTTTCCCAATGAACTTATGAAGTAAATAGTTGAAAAATCATTTCCTAATGAATTTTAAGAATTTTAATTTATAGATGATCAATTAAATTATTTTAGAAAATCTAATATTTATAGAGTTGATACACTAGAACCTTTAAAATTTTATAATTATGCAAATTAACCTTTGATTATGCTGCCTGAAGATTATATTGAATATAATTTTAAAGAAAAAGATGTTGATATCTTGAAATTAGCTGGAGAAAATTAAAATTCCAAGATTATTTTAGGTAGAAGTTTTCTTAACAATAAGATAATTCATCTTTCTTCATTAACATCAGAAATATTTATTGAATAATTATCTAGAGATATATGTAACATATAATAAGTTCAAAATGATTCAATTTTTAATCATCTTATTTCTTAAGTTAGCATAATATTTATTATCATAATATTTTTTTATGCAATATTTAGAAAGATAAGAGCATAACGTTTACTTAAGAACTAATTAAAAATAGTTGAATCATAACTTATTTTAAAATTATAAGAAGTAGAGGTTCTAAATGATAATATATAATAATAATGATTATATATTTATTATTTTAATTAGTCTTATCCTTTGATCTTCCCAAACATACATACATTATTAAGTAAAACGAAAACACACTGAAATATTTTATTGTTTTAGATAATAAAGAATACATTATAGATTTAAATAATGATTTTAGTGTTACTGATATTAAAGGAACAATTCAAGAATGCAATATGAATTATTAATGTCAATATTGTGATTAAGTCTGCCAATATACATTTATAGATTAGTATGATTAAGAGTCGAATGGAACACTTTAAGAAATAGTGATTGAGATTGAGAATATTAAAGGAATAAGATAAATTGAAGAATTTATAGCTTTACATTCTGATAATAAAAATTAATTAGGATTAGGAATTAATAGACTATGTACCGATTTAATTATATAAGTCAGAATAACATTAAAATTATACAATTCCCCAAAATACATTTTTATCGAATGTGGTCTCTATATGTTTTTCATCTATTGGCTTTATTCATAAATCAACATAGAAGAATATAGAAAATGCAATAACGATACCCTATTAATAAAAGGGAAACGTTTACTCTTTCAAATTTAAATAAATAAAATTGGGTTTCAATTCAATAATTAATATTGAAAATGTAGATGTCTAGATTGATTCTATTAGTATGTTTACTGAATTACCAAAAGATATTTTCAGGTATTAATTATTTTATATATAGTGAAATTACAAATTATTACAAATAACTTGGATTTATCATTGTGAATTCAGGATATTTATGTATACATGAAAAGAAATTTAACTTGTCTCAAATATCAGTCATTTAAATATACATAAATGAATCCTATTATTTAGAGTTTTCACCGAAATAGTTCTTATATTAATCAGGAGAATATATCTAACTCCCTTTTAAATAATCAAAGTATCAATATTAGTTTTTAAATTAGAAAGAAATCAATAATATTTGGATTAACTTTTTTAGATAATTTATACTTGACAATAAATTAAAATTAAAAAAGTCTTTCATTTTCATAAAGTGACTGTCAAAGTTCAGTACAAAACTCAAGTTCTTATAAATATTTTGCATTTTTATTAGTGTTTAGTATTTTAATATTGTTTGCAATTATAATTAAGTTATTCAAAAAATAAAAATAATATGGCACAGTGGCTCAAGTTTAAGAAGTAGAATTACAAAATTCAACAATTTAAAGAGAAAAAGAAGATGAAGAAGAAGAATAGTTGTGAAAATTATAAAAATTATTTATACAGATTCAAATATAAATTATTTTCTTAAATTATTGTTACTAAAAAAATGGATATAAAAAGTATATATTACGATATCATAATTAAATTTGATTAAATTGAATTAGTAAAATAAATTTTTATTTTAAAATCTTATCTCTATAATAAAGTTTGAATAAAAAGCAAATACGAAGTTGAAATCTGATATAATAATGAGCAGATGAGAAAAACAATTTTTATTAATTATTAAATTTTATTTATGTTTAGATTAAACAAGTTAATTAAAAGCTTTGGTAGTATTTAAAACCTCACCAATTGGGAAAATGATGTTGTTAAAGCTAGTAAACCAGTCCTTGTTGACTTTTATGCAACGTAATTAATTGTTTAATGAATTATAGTTGGTGTGGACCATGCAAAAGATTAACTCCTATATTAGAGCAAAAAGTTAAAGAACATCCAAATGTAACACTTATTAAAATTGATATCGATCAACATGAATAATTAGCAAATCAAAACAATATTGAAGTTGTACCAACTGTTATGCTTTTTTAAAATGGAAAGAAAGTCAATAATTTTACAGGAATGCTATCTCCAGATAATCTAAATAAATTCTTTGATTAAATTCCAAAATAATGAATATTATCAATAATATATAATCAAATAATCCAATTTGACCAATCATCACTCTATATAGAATTACAAGTATATCTACAATATAATTATTTGTAAAATTCTTAATTATTTTTCTTAATTTAATAGTTTTTCATGTTTATGATTACTTTTATCTTTCCATTTATTTCTCTATTATTTTCAGTATAATCTAATTATCCTCATGAAACTTCTAATTAACAAATATATTTAAAGTATATAATCTTGAGTTGTTAATTGTATATTATATTTAGAATGAATATTTTTTCAAGGAGAAGGGCTTTTATTAATATCAATAATTATTAAATTTTACCATAATTCATTAAATTGATCATGAAATAATTAAGAATAAATTAATTAATTTAAGATTTCTCCATTTAATTATTAAAATGAATAGACTTTAAGATCTAAATTGGGTTTAGTTATTTTGTTTTATTCAGAATTTATGTTCATAATATCAATTTTAATAATATATTTAATTTTTAGAAAGGAATGTGTCATATTTTATAAACACAAGTAAATAAATTAATAATAAGTTTGTAAAAATGTTGATTAATTTAAGTTTTATTGTTGAGGTTGATTATTTTTGTAGTCGATAAAATTAGGTTTATAATTACAAATTGTAATTAATTTCAATAAAAAATAGAAATACTAGATGAATAATATTACTAATTGTAAATTGTTAAAATTAGTATTATATAGATATAATTTTAATAAATAATAAGTAAATTATGAGATTATTTGAGAAATAATGTTATAAGATGAAAAATGAAATGAGTAGAAAAGAGTTTGATAAATGATAATTATGGATGGGAATAAGAATGGAATGGAAATAGAAAGATTAAGAAAATGATATTAAATAATAATTATATTATAATTAAGCATTAAGATAGTTTTATTAAATAAAAAAGATGAATGATGAGTTAGAAAAGACAGCAAATTTTTTCTTTCCTGTTGATAATTAAGGAATAAAATAGAAATTCGTTCATACTAGAAGATTGTTGAAACATCCTGGTTAGAACAATGTTTCCAATCCTTCAACCCAGATGTAATATTGAACTAATAAATATTTAAGAACTGCATCGAAGCGAAGTTCTGATAATTCTGGTGTTGAAGGGTAGCATACTCCTCCTTAAATATGTGGAATGAGAAAAAGATCAGAATTACATACAAGTTCTGAGGATAGAAAACCTAACAATTATCGAATATTTAGTTCTAATGTAAATCAACGTTCTAGTTATCCATAATAATTTAGTTTTGGAAATTAATTTCAATAGATAAATGAATTCATATAGATCAAAGACTAACATTAAAGTCCTCCATTTAAATAGTTAAAAAAGCTACCAGAAATCTTTTAATAAAGAAACTCTAGTTAAGGATTTAGACAACCATTCAGAATATAAAGTGGATAAAGTAAAAGGGAAACAATGAGCAACTTTGTATAAGATATTGAATGTCCTAAAAAATAATGTTTATAGTAATTGTAATTAAAATAAGCCATTAATAAATAATAATTAAGAGGAACATAAAACAAATTACCGAATATTGGTTAACCTGTATCATTTTTATAGACTAAACAATAATTGAAGATGATAAATAGAATATTTTCAGGCAAACGGGATCAATGATTATAGTATATCTCATTCCATTGATGATTTTGGTATTTTATATGAACTTGCTTTTTTTAATCCTCCCATTTTAGGTGTTTATGAATTTAATTTAGATATTGCATCTTCTAAATGAGCAGCTTCATCATTCACACAATCATCATCTTTGCTTTATTAATTAATCTATTATAACTGTGAATTTTTTAAAGCTGTTTTACGTAAATCTGATTATTAATGTTTTTTCATTGCAGGTGAATCTATATATAGTTATTCTATTTAATTACTTGCATCTTATTGAGCTTATTATTTATTGACATTTCCAAATTAACTGAATTTACTTTATTATAATTATGGTTTCTAATCTAATCTTGTTACTGATCCATTATTAGATACATTTGAAAATGAACCCATTGTATCTATTCTTCCATTCAATGCTGGTTATCTTTATTATAATTACATTGAACCAACTTAACTTGGTGGACTAAACTATATCATTTATATTATTACCCTTATTGTTTTCCTAATCCATAAACAAAATCTTTATCATAATCCCTTATACTCTCTTATATATCTATTAAATCTTATTCCTTAAAGATTTCCTTAAAATATGGATGTTTTAGACATTCTTCTGATGACACACGAGTCTTTGGATCAGCACATAACATTTTCTTCAATAAATCTACTAATTATATAGGAGCCTAAATATATTATCTATTTTACAGATTAAATTTATTTTGTTTCATAATTAACTTCACAATTCTTATTAGCTCTTAAAATTGATTTATAATCACCTCCTTAGAATGGTTACTTTCCTGTTAAAAGAACATAAAAAATAACACCTGCACTAAAGACATCACATTTTTCATCATAAAAAGGATCTCCTTCTTTGTATAGTAGTATTTCTGGAGCCACAAATCCTGGAGTTCCACATCTTTTAAAAAGGATATCTTCATTTAAGAAACTTGCTAATCCAAAATCTGCTATAACAATATCAGTATCATTATCCTTCTCTTTTAATAGTAAATTCTCTGGTTTCAAATCTCGATGCATACATTTTTTTGAATGCAAATGACATAAAGCTTTCATCAAATTGTACATTAATTTTTATAAATTAGGAGCGCTTAATGGGGATTATTTGACCCTAGTTAATAATTCACCTCCTTTTAATATATCTAATATGAAATAGATTGAATTTTGTGTTTCATAAGTTTCATATAATTTTACAAGATTTTCTTGATTTAAACGCCTCATAACTTTGATTTCATTTTCTAATGATTCTCTTCCTTTGAATTATTCTTACATAAATTCTTTATTGAATGCTTTAACTGCATAATTTGCTCCTGTTTATTTTTTGGTAGCAAAATAGACTTTTGCAAAACTTCCTTTACCTATCATTTTTGTCACACCAAATTCATCATGGAAAGTTGTTTATAAACATCTTGATGCCATCATATTTTTGAATACAACGTAATCATCTAATTATAAATCCAAAAATTTTCCATTCCTAGCTATTCTTATAATATTGCCAAATTAGTCATGTTTGTAAGTAGTCATCACTGCAACTGTTATATTAAGCCAAGAAATTTTTTAGTCTTTTATATCATATATATGTTCATTTCCTAATTGGATTGTCATCATTTTAAGTTATTTGGACTTTTTACTGATTTTGCGGCAGTCTTCTTAAAAAACGATGTTGTCATTCTTTATAACGTTTAATAAATGTATTTTACATTATATATTTCTAAATCAACAGATTACCATATTTTATTTGATTTTCCTTGAATGTCTGGGTTGTCAAAAAAAGAATTCATATCCTATATCATTTTAATTTTATATTAATATTTAATAAATTATTTATGGACCCCAACTCAAAAAATTTTAGAAACCTTAAAAAATTGATCAAATAAAATCTTATTCATAAATATTGTTATTAAAATGAATTAAACAATTCTACATTTAACATTTCGAAAAATTAATATTTTCTCTTATTTTCAAAAAAAAAAAGAACATAATATCAAAATCAGATGTTTAATAATTAATTATATAATAATATGTTTTTATTTCTAATAACTGCAATTTCTTGTTAATCAATTCTTGATGGTCTTAAAATGATTGAAAAAAGTTTCAAATACACAAATGATAATAGCATTCTAAATAAAAATTGTAAATCAATTTTTAATTTACCATGTAGAATGTAATAATAGAAGATTTCTTAAAATGAATAGAATGTGAAGAATTACATAAATGAAGAAGTAAATATTGAATATTAGGGAAGGCAAATTTATTCTTAAATTTAATTGAGTCAGATTAAGATTATCATAAATATTATCAAGGAGTGATAAATCATATCACAAAAGAAATTGGATTATATGACATAAATGAATCATATTTATCTATTCTAATGGATTTTGATTCTTTCACCTTATAAAAAGAATCGAAACTCATTGAAAATAAATATTATGTAGAATTATAAGACAGAGAGATTCATAGTATAAATAAATTGAATGATACTTTTAAAGAGAATAATTCATCTTTATTTATTTATTTTAAAGATTTATATATTCCAAAATAAGGTAAATAAAGTTTTAATGCAATTTCTAATAATTTCTTATATCATCCTAATTTTGAAAATATCTAAACAGCAGAGAAAACTGGTGTTATATAATTTAGCAAAGGAGTATATTTAAGTTAATTTTATGCTAAAAGTTTGAAAAAGAATTCAAAAATAACTTTAGGATTTTTAGATGGATAAACTACAAGTTTAGATCTTCATGTAGATGATAATTGGATATTAATAAAAGGACCAATAGATTATTAAATAATAAATATAACAATGAGTAAATAGACAGCAATTGATTCAATTTTAATAAAAGTAAAGAAAATTGCTTACACTTAAGATTAATTATAAATGTTATTAGTTTAGAAGTTATTGTTAAAATAATAACTTTTACATGAAGATAAAAGATTGAATAAGAAAATGATTTAAGAAAACTTTGAAAAAGAATAAAAGAAATAAAAAGTGATTATATTATAGGATTTAGAATATGATTAAATTGATAGTATTATAAATTTTCTGGAATTAATATTAGTAGAAATCTAAAAGTTTAAGGTTAGTGGATAATAATAATAATAATAATAATAATAATAATAATAATAATAATAATAATAATAATAATAATAATAATAATAATAATAATAATAATAATAATAATAATAATAATAATAATAATTGAGTTCGAAATAGATATAAGGAATAATTGATAAAATAATATAGGGAAATAATAAAAATGAGAGAGAATTTAAGAAATTTAAGAATATGTTAGAAATATTTTTATAATAATAATTGAATGAAGAAGAGATTGAGATTCTTTATTAAAAGTTAATTTAAGCAAGATAAGATTTGAAAGTGAATTGATTGAATTATAGTTATAAGGATGTTTTTACATTTAAGAATTAATAATTAAAATATAAAATAAAACATCCTTTATAAATGAATTTCACATTTATGATAGATAATTGTTTATCTTCTTGTTAAATAACATATAATGGACTTACTATATTAGATTATGCCAAGAGTGCTATAGAATATTTTGTAAAAAAGAGAACAAAGAATCCAGAATATAAATATGATCAATACCATCTTTTTTCGTCTAAGTAATTTTTTGTTCTTTACATATTGTGTATAGTTCTTCAATCTCAACTTGGATACATGATGTTGGTCATTTTTTACAAAGAGTCAAAACAGTGTAACCATAATTTGAGACAATTTTAAATTTAGAGGAGTGTTTCCACAATTTAAACAAATTTAGAACATTAAATGGTTATTTATATATATAATTAAATTACAGGAACAGATAATCTATATGGTGGAAGAGATGTCTAAAAGATAGAATCAGGAATAGTATTTGTATTTACGAATCGAGAATATCAAGGTCTAGATTTATAGAAGTTAATTAGATGGGATTATAGACTACTGATTTTTTTAATTTAACCACCAGGAGTTGAAGAAACTACACCAATATAAATATAAACTAATTGGCATAATATAGCATCATCTATAGGTTAAGGAATATGCTTTGAAATTTAAGATTATAACATTCTCTTTTCAATTTTAGATGATCCTAAATTAATTACTCCATAAATCTCTCTTTAATTAACAATGTTAGATTAAATCATTAGATATGATGATATATAACCATTAATTGAAAAAACAAAGTAAGAAGTACATCCATAATCAAATTCTTGGTTGGTGAGATCAACTTAAAAAATTAATTAATAATTTGCTTAAGCTAGATTAAGATGTACTCCTCATGTGAATATATTTACAAAAGTCTATTTACCTGAATAATTTCCTTTATTCGATTTCAATGTAATAAAAAACAAAATAAATAGAATTATCCATCTGTTCCTGAATATTTTGTAGATTTCAATGTTACTTTTCAAGCCAAATTACCGTAAGATATGCCTATGTAAGAAATTGTTATAGAGAATCCTTCATTATTAAAATATGTTTAGAATATATCTACATCAAAGAGTAAATTATTACAATTTCCAATATTCTATTAAGAACAAAGGGATGAATAAACAAATAAATATTTAATTGGTTTATTTCTCTATTCTCAAAATCAAAACAATATGGAATTAAGATTGTAAAAAATATATATAAATAAATTCTTAGTTATTTTCCTAATTTCTACATATATTATGATCTTTTGAATCAATTAATCAATTCTAGAGATGATGCACGTAAATTAGTAGAATAAAAGTTCTTATAATACTTATAAACAATTCCCAATTATTATGCTCCTTGTATTAAAAAGAATCTATCTGAAAAGAATATTTAAGTATAAATACTTTTTATTATTATAGATTTAAAGATCTTTACAATTTCTAATAGAAGAGACAACTCATTAATTATACATGTAGAAAGTTAAAGCTTATTAGGCTAAAGTCTAAAAAATTAAAAAAATGATTGATGAAGAAAATTATAAAAATAGATAATCTCATATCTCTAAAAAGAGTTAATGTTGTGCTGCATTTAGTGAAAATTATTAAGCAAGATTTTATGAATAAATTAATTGTGAATTTAGATAAGTTACACATATTGATAAGGATGTAAACTTTAATAAATTTTTACCTAAATTTGAAATTCAATCATGTCTACCCTAAATGCCAATATTACAATAAACATTAAGAAATGTGCATTTGGATTTAGATGAAATAGAAATAAGATTAGAACCATAATTTTGTGGGAATCCTTGGAAATTATAAAGAAAAACATATAAAGATGGTATTGAAATAAAGGTATTTATATTTATATTAATATTTATTTAGAATGAATAAGATGAATATTAATTAGAAGATATGATATTATCAAGAGTTGATTAAGAAAATTAATCATAAGTTAAAAATAGAAGAAAAGGATTCATGAGATTAAAGGATATCTAAGAAGGAAATCACAAAAAAACAACTGTTGAGTAAACTTAAATGGAAATTGAAGATATTCAAACTGAATCTTAATAGTAGTAGTCTAATAATAATAAATATGGATATATAAAATATAATCCTTATTTTTAGGTAATTTAGTATGCATTAAGTAGGCAAAACTAAAATTGAATATATAAAGCAAATTGAACAATTCATATTCCACTATCAATTGAAACTCAAAAGTAAATTAATTATAACAATTTTCTATTAGTAGTGTTAAATAAGTAACTTATTCATTTTGGTTAAATTATTTATTTTTTTCCCTTTTTTTAGTTTAAATTTAAATTAATAATGTTTGGAAACACTCTTGCAGCAAACAATACTCAAACATAATAATAAATTAATTCAGCTCCTTCAATTTTTGGCACTTCTAATAATTTATTTAGTCAACAATCTAATCTCTTTGGTTAATAGTAATAACCATAAGGAATAGTAGGATAACCATAATAACAGAATATATTTGCTAATAATACTTAAAGTAATCAACCATAATAATAAACTAATATCTTAGGATAATAACAATAATCAAATCCTTTATTAGGATAAGTATAATAATAAACTATTACTTAATTAGGATAAACTTAAACATCTAATATATTTGGATAATAAAACCAATAACAACAACAACAACCATAAACATAAACATAAATAACACAATAATCTACATTATAATAACCAGCTTAACCTAAAGTGCATACTATGAATTAAATCAATTAATAAACTAAATTACTCATTGAAAATATGGCTAAAACTATTGCAAACAAAGAAAAGATTGATAAAAATTAAAAAAATTTATAGCTCATTGAAAAAAACTCATTGAAAAATATTTAATAATAATAATAATAATAATTAACTATTGGAATTAATTAAACATAACAATAGATTTCAAGAACTCTCTTAAAGGGTGATCGCAGAAATCATACTTAAAAGGCTGAAAATTATTATAATGAATGGAATAAACTATATCTAAGCATTAATAAAAAGTAAGATGAAACTCTTACTTAATTGACTGCTATTATTGATTAATTAACCTAGTAAGACACAGTTTATGGTAATAATACTCTTTCTATTATCATTAGATATAGATGATGAGTCACTTATTGATTCTATTCAATAATTGGGTAAGGAATTGGATGATCTAGAACGTAAAATCTATTCAGTAGTTTAAACTTAATAAAAAGTACTTGGATTAGAAAAAGAAGAATCTGAATGGGATTAAATTGTTAATAATTTAAGTGAGTGTTTATTACACTTAGATTTATAAACTGTATCTATTTATCATAAATTTTAGAAAGAAGTGGAAGATTTATTACTCTAAGCAGAAAAGAATCCAAAAGTATAAAATAAATGAATTATATATAATCTTTATTTTATACGAATAGGATCATTTTTCTTGTTAAATTTTTAATGAAATATTAAAATAATAAATAATTAAACTATTTATATGAAGGCTCAAGATAACTCTTTTCGATTACCTGCGTTAAAATTATAGCCTAGAGAATATAAATTTAATTTAAGCTAAGAATCCATAGAATAAAACTAAAGCAAAGAAACAATACAGTAGAATGTTTTAAATCATTATAATCCTTCACCAATTAGACATAGGAATAAAATAATGTCAGTTTCTGTTTACAACAGTTAAGAGAAGATAAAACCATCTAATTAGGCTAAACATTTCTAAAATAGCGAATTTATCACTTGTCAAAATACTAATAATAGTATTTCTGTTGTCTAAACTGTTAGAAGATATAGAAGCAAACTAAAAAAACTTGTATAACATAATTAAAATAGAAGTGAAATAAATTCGAGAGATCCTAGATATTTCTTTTTTAAAGAGCCTTCTGCTTCTATAAAATTGAATAATCTTCAAGATAGTTCAAAGTAAGTAGATAAACTATTAGAAGAGAGAATCAAATAATTAATGACTAAAGTTTAAATGCTTATTTCTTCATAATCTTTTTATTAACAAAAGAAATATTAAGCTCACCTGAATGTTAATCTTGTTAAATTATAGGATGAATATGATGTGTTATTTTAAGATTTCAACGAATTCTATTTTTCTTCCAAAAGGATTGATTGTATTCATATAATTCTAATAATTAGCATAAATTAAAAATCTATTGAACCATATGTAGATTATTAAAAAACTATTAAGTCCACTACAAAAACCATATGGATTATGTTAAAAATCAAGTTAATCGTTACATTAAAATATATTTGATTCAATATAAGAAGATATTAAAGAATCAGCAACTCAAAGAATAGATAATTCATAAATAAATGGTAGAGTTGAAATCAATAATTATAATGAAGATAGTGAAAATGATGATTTTGATTAAGAATATTCAAATTCATCTGAAGATAATGATGAAAATCAAAATGATTAAACTACAAAAAATTAAAAATAATAGTCAAAAAAAAAAATAAAAAACTAAAAATCTAAAGGTAGAATAAAATAATAAGGTACTATGGATTCTGATAAAACTAAAGAAAGTTAAGATTAAGAAACTATAAAATTTGATGATTAAGGAAATTAAATAATTTCACCAAATAAAAGGAGAAGAAAGGTTTCTTAGATTTCAAATAATGGTAATAGTAATGAAGATCAATAAGAAGAAATAAAAGATGGAGAAAATTAGGAAATTTCTGAAAATTGTCAAAAATAAAAAAATTAATAGAGTAAAATAGCTAGTAGAAGAAGAACTGTACTTAATGGAGATGGATCAACTTAATCTGATGAAGAATAAAATTCAGTTAATAATAATAATGAGATGATAATTCATGAAGAAGAATTAAGCGAAAATGAATAAGAATCTGAAGTTAGAAATTTAAAGAGAAATGATAAATTTACTAAATAATAAGTTGAATTAGATTATAAGTTAAATAGAGATATTTTAATATGTGATTAATAGGATGAGTATTAAGAATAGGAAGGTTGCTAATCTTTTCGTTAAGAAAGGTTCTTGATTTAACATCCAAATCATGAAATGAATAGCGTTTCAATACTTGATAGATTTATACGTTTAGATAATATCTATGATTATAAATTTTTATAAAGTTGGAATTATCATATAGCTAAAATTAGATAGGCTAAGTTTCTTGATGAATTTGATATTTGATTTTATATCTTATTTATTTAATTTGCTCAAATATAATATATATAATGTATATCATAAAATTTTAATTTTTTTCTTTAGTTCATTAATTTATTTTTAATAATCAGCTGTTACTCTGGTCATGTTAACTTATAATTAAACTAATTATTCTTCAGCAACAGTTGCTTTAACAACTAATTCTGTTCTTTCTCTTTCTAATTGTTTAGTAAGTTATTCATAGAATTGAATTTTTTATTGAACATTTTTACTTTATCCTGATTATGGTCCAATCATTTCATATTCTTTTACCATTTTTAATAATCTCTCATTATCTTATTATAATTTATGTAAATCCCATTTATTTGAATCTTTTAATAATTATACTAATCTTCTATTTTCTTCTTATAAATCATTTCTTTCTTTTCTTAATGATGAATCATTATTATTTTCAGAAATTTAACTTTATTTTAATAATTAGATTTCAGAAATTAATCTTTTAGTAGCATTATTAGGATCATCTATTTTTTTAGTTTCTTTAAGATTCATTAATTCTGCTTCTAAAATATGATTTTTATTTCTAAGTCTTTAAATTTCTTATTCTTAATCTTTTTATGCTTAAGTATGCTTAAAATAATAAAGAATATAAATACAAGTTCATTTTCATCTAATATCATATAACCTTTATGTAAAATATCAGGTAAAGGTTATCCAATAGGAGCCCAATCCTCAGCTAAATAACGAATTTATCTAGAATAACTTTTAATAGAACGCATTTCAATTTATAATTATTTATTCTTTTTGCTAAGAATTTCAATTGATTGAGAATATTCTCTTTCTTTACCTGCATAAGTTTAAAATAATTCATCTCTAGGATCTAATTTATGAATCTATATTAATTTATTTCTATATATAGCTCTCATCTCATCTAATTATAATTACATTTTAACATTTTCTCCATTTAAATCATTTAATTATTTTTCAAGATCTTTAATTCTTTCATTATCATCATTAACTTTTCTTTATAGTGATTTTACTTTATGAGTAAGTTCCATTTTTTAACTTTCCCATAACATTCTTTCATTTTTAAATACATCATCATTAATAGGTTATTAAGTAATCTATATCTAAGTAGATGATTTATCAAGTTCTAATCGTTTTTTATCTAATTCTAATTTATCTTTTGCACCTAATAATCCATACTTCATTAATTCTACTTTTAATCTTTCTATCTCAGCTTTTGCAAATTCTAATGCTTCTCTCTTATCTCTCAAATCATCAGTCATATTCTTTACTTTTTCTTATAACATTTTTGTTTATTCATTTGCTTAACCATCTGATTAATAAAGTTTAGATATTTCCTCTTATAAAGCCTTATTTTCATTTCCTAAATTAATTAATTCAAGACTGTAATTCTCTTATTGAATTCTAATATTTTCTAATTCTTTTAATTTATCCATATAATTCTTTTTCAAAGCCATAAATTCCATTTCAATTTCTCTCTTCTCGTCTATTGCTTCTCTTAATCTATCTTGTAATTCTTATAATACTTATTATGCCTTTTATAACCTAACATCATCTGAAAGATTATCATCATTTAACTTTTTTGAATTCGATTCTGATTAAATCTAAATAATCAACTCTTATAATTTCTTATTCTACAATTCCATATCTAATAAAGCTTTTGCAGATTCTATTTTATCTTCTTCAGCTTTTATTAATTCATCCTATAATTCTACCTTCTACTTAACTAACTCTTAGAATCTTGCTCTCAAAGCTGATAATTTCTATTTCAAATCTGTTATCTCATCATCCATATCAGCTATCTATTTCGCATAATCATTCACTTTGCTCTTCAAATCCAACAACTCTTAAACTCCTACTGAATCTCCTGATGCTACTGGAGTATCCTTCTTCTTTCCAACTTAATTACTTGAAGCTGCCTCTAATCTAAATTAACGCAATAAAGCAATAACTCTATGATTATTTACAACTGGATAAGTCATTATTTTTCTTGCCTATTTAAATACTTATAATGTCAAAGAAGAACCTTTTGGATCACCATGTTAACAACAAAAGATTCCTATATTATATGAATTACTTCCATATATTTCCTTACCTAATTTTGTAACTGTTGAAGTATCATACATTACATAATCTTCTTACCTATTTGCTAGATCTTTAATTAATTATGAAAATGCTATAATTACTTTATTCAATGTTGATCCTTACTTAACCCTTATAGTTTCTGCATCATCAACCAATATTTCACTTCCAGGCAAATCAGCAAATGTTGCCTAACTTTTAAGCAATACCATCTCCTATGTCTCCTTATTTGAATACCATTATTTAAGATCAATAATAAATAAGGAAGTAGCCTTAGCACTAACTTTTCCAAATTCATTACTAGTATTATCTCTACTTTTTAATCCTTTATAAAGTCGATCATTTAATTCAGTGTCTTTAGTAATTTCATGCCATGATGCTCCTTAAACAACTGGTCCATCCCATGGATGATCTTCAACAAACAATCTTTCTCCAAATTTTCTATCTGCACATAAATCCATTATATTTTCATCCAATATTTCCAAATATTACATTCTCACTTCATACTTATAATCTGTTATTATGCTTTCTTCTTTGAAAGTTTACACTACCTTATCTTATAAATATGCAAATAAAGTGGTTGCCCAGAGTGTAACTATACCTTTCTCTTTTTTATTCCCCTCTATTGTTTATGATTTACCTGCTCCTGTAGAACCATATGCAAAAACACTCACATTGTAACCTTATATAAATTATTAAATTAAAGGAGCCACTCTTTCATTATATATTTATTCAAGACCTACTTCTTATCCATATGCTTCAGGAACTTCAAATTCTTCTAAAATTCTATTGTTAGGGTCTGTCAATATGATATTTTGATTGTTAATTCTTAAATCTTCTCTTTAAAAATTTGTAGCTGGTTTGATTCTAACAATTGGCATTAATAATTCTCCTTTTACATCTTCAAACCATTTTCTACTTCTCACACTAGGAGTAGTTGTCATTTATTTATTTAATATATATTATATTATATTATATTATATTATATTATATTATATTATATTATATTATATTATATTATATTATATTATATTATATTATATTATATTATATTATATTATATTATATTATATTATATTATATTATATTATATTATATTATATTATATTATATTATATTATATTATATTATATTATATTATATTATATTATATTATATTATATTATATTATATTATATTATATTATATTATATTATATTATATTATATTATATTATATTATATTATATTATATTATATTATATTATATTATATTATATTATATTATATTATATTATATTATATTATATTATATTATATTATATTATATTATATTATATTATATTATATTATATTATATTATATTATATTATATTATATTATATTATATTATATTATATTATATTATATTATATTATATTATATTATATTATATTATATTATATTATATTATATTATATTATATTATATTATATTATATTATATTATATTATATTATATTATATTATATTATATTATATTATATTATATTATATTATATTATATTATATTATATTATATTATATTATATTATATTATTTCAATAATTTCTATTTCAAAACCTTAAAAATGAATATAGTGAATTTTCATTAATGAACCATTCGAATACGATTTATATTCACCAACTTTTGCATTATTAAAGATTAACTTTATGTCTTCCCTGAATTGATATAACAAATTATATTTAATTGATTTACTGATTATTATGTTTTTTAATAACTCATTAGAGTCCAAAAACAAATCTATATAGATATTTATCTATCAATAGTGGTATATGAGTTTATAGTAATTCAGATAGAATCAATATAAAGATTTAAATGCTTTAAAATTATGAAAATTTTAAAAAATTTATTTGTTGAGATTCTGTGTACATCTAATAGAATATTAAAAACATTGTATGGGATTAAAATTAGGTAAAATAACTTATATAGTTAGTATTAGAAGCTTAGATATAAATTATGATCCTATTCTTTTTAATTCCATATGCATTTTGATATAAATTCTTTTTATTTACAAATTCACAATCTCTATCATTATCAAATGGGCACAATATTAATAAAATTATTTTAGCTCATGTACTTGAATTGTTAGATTTTTGAAATTATTTTTTTGATATTTACACTACTAATCTGAAATTTAAACATTACATGTTTCTAAACTTTAATGCGTATAGTTTCTTAATGATGAACTTTGAAAATAGTAACTAATTTATTTTTAATATCCTTTAAGTATAAAATTAATTTTTACGCTATATATCTATTAATTAAATTTAATAAATAAAAACCTATTTAATAAAGAATTGACTCATCAGTATAAATATTAATTAAGAATTTTAATTATCAACTAAGTTGTATCTACATTGTAAAAAATGGTAAAGAAAATTAAACCTAATCTTTATAATTAATTCATTAAAGATTGATTTTAATTAAATTTTCTTTTTATTCAGATTACTATGTTAGGTTGATTTAGATTTTTTAGTATAAAGAATTTAGAAAGGTTTTTAAATGAGAGTGAGATAAATTCATTTAGAATGTTTACTTAAAATTTAAAATAAATACTATATTAAAAAGATTTCAACTAAGCACTAACATGTTGGCTATTGGATTATGTTGGAGCAAATAAATTTTATTTAAATTAATTAAGTGAAAACAATATTTTTTACATTTGTTATCAAAATAGATTGAAATTTCTAATTTTCTGAGATCAAACTTTAATAAACTGTCTTTTTTTAAAGTGAATTCCAGTAATATAAATAAATATTGAATTAGGATATTTGATTGTGAAATTAATTTAATAAGTATAGAGAATAGTTTTACTAAAAATAATTAAACTCTAATACATCTGAAAGTTTTTATTAGTGATAATTTAGGTATGTTAAATTATAATTTTATTTAATAAAAGTTCATTGAAAACATAAATTTTTTGAGAATAGTTAGGTAGAAATTGAATTAATCTGTTTTTATTTCAATAAAGTGTGAAGTCTAATAATAAAGTTATATAATTGATTCATGGCTTCTTTGAGTTTATAAATGTATAATTAATTATATAAATAAATTATATCTGTTAGCCAATATAATGGAATAATACGACAAGTACTAATTGTTTTTAAGATTAACTAATAAGAAAGAGAGTTCATCAAAATATGAGTCTTTAAATTCTTCATGCAAAAAACAGCATCCTACAATTTTAAGTGGAAAGAGAAATCCTAACAATGAGGCATATAAGAAACTACATTAAAGTTCTGAAATATTTAAAGAAAATACAACACCAATTAAGAATGATGTATAAAAACCAAAAAATTATGCTACAGAGAGAAAATCACTTGAAGATTCAAACACCAAAAGAACTTTGATTCCAAGCTTAGATTAATATTAATCACCAGAAAGAAGATATTCATCAAATATTAGATATAATCCTAATACGGAAAGTTCATAAAAAGAATCTAAAAGAATTTTAAAGTAAGTTACATTCTTAAAATTTAGAACATGTGAATAGAGATAATAGGACTTTTCTCATCGAATTAACTTACCAATTAGTGCAGTAAAACAATTTTTTTATTATATTAGATGTAAGTTAAGGATTATAAAGAAGATAATTATGGTTTAGGTAAATATAAATCACACGAATCTACTTAAAAGTTAAAAAGTTACCTTGATCTTTAAGGAAATCTTAATAATTGTAAATTTATAATTATATTCAGAAACGATTTAGAGTTATACTGATAGATTATTCAAAAGTCAGAATAAAATATAAAAAAATCTTTTATCATCATATTAAATTTGTAAAGCCTAATCAGAATTGAAGAATGGAAAGAAGAGATTTATATAAAGTGCTATGTCATAATAGTTGTCACCTCCATAAAATCCAATTCAACCTAAAGATATAAATAAAGTTTTTTTAAAGAGTACTTAAGAAGTATGGGATAATTAAGTAAAATTAATATTTTAATTATTTTAGTAATAGTAATCAAAAGCTATTGTAAAAATGAAACATGCTTATCAACAAAAAAGTTAAATCGATTTGAGATGAAATGAAAAACAACTTTAAATATATATAAAATTCTACATTTTTATTACTTTATGATTTATCACTTAATATACAATTTTATTAATCAAAGTTTAAAGTTAAGGGTTAATTCTAAACTATAAGATATATTCTATATTAAGAAAATTAATTGTTATTAATTTTATATTAAAATTATAATAAATTTAATGAAACCTTAAAAAAGCATAATTAAAGAACTAAAAACATATTAACATAATCTCATTAATCCCAATAAAGAACGCAAAAAATTTAATATAAATGATTTTCCTAATCTATCTCGAAAGCCTATTGAATGGACAGATTGTGATTAATTTATAAAACTTAGATAATTTAAATGCGATAAAAGATTAGCTATTAAATTATGTTAACAATACAAAATTCATAGATCAGATTAATAATTTTTTGATACCGTACAAAATGTCAATATTGAAAATGTAGAATATAAGAAAATTTAAAATGTTACTATTTTTTGTTATTTATTAGACTACATCGTTTTTATTAAGATAAATAAGATAAAATCAACTAAGCAAATAAAAACATAGAATTGAATTCTAAGAATCATAATTTGACAGTAAGATGTCATCAATTCTAGACAATTCTTTTTCAAAATTCTAAAAATCCTTAGATAAACATATTGAAATAGAAAATAATTTTTTGCATACATTTAATTTAAAAGAATTAACAAAAGAATAATTGTTAAAGAAATTATAATAATTGTAAAACTATTGATTAGATATTAGAAACAAAGGTGTCAAAAGAAACTTATTAACTGAAAATATTTAATCAAATGAATCCATTCCAAAAGTCAGTTTACCTGCAACTTTTACATCTGTAATCAATTAAAATTTATCAGAAAGATACATAGATCATAAACTGAAAGGAAATATTCTAAAGCTTAATCTCCATTATCAGGTTTATAAACTTAAAGAGAGACAAAGGCAAATTTTACAAAGACATTTTAAAGGTGGCAATAAAATTAAAAAAGCAATAGATCACTTTAATAAATTTAAAAAATAAAAGAAGATTAAATCAAATTAAAACCTTCTCTTTCAAAAGATTTACATAGTTTGAAAAATATTGGTACATTAACTGAGATAGGATAAGCTAAATATAAAAAGAAAAGACATATGACAAATTATAGTATAATCAAATACATAAGTGGTTTTGGTTGATATCTATTTGATTGATTGATTTCTTACTTAATCATAAAAAATGGACATAAAATTTAAGTTATTTTAATATTTATCAAAATATGAAATCTCAAAGAAAGAGTCTAATAAAAGACATTTAAGCTCACTGCCCTCTAATACTTAAGTATAATAAATCATTCTATTAAGCGAACCAGTTGGTATTGTTTAACCATTTTGTAGAAAATTATATACAAAACCATAAAATGATTGGAAAAATGTCGAATAATATTTAAAGTTGAGAGAAATGAAATGTGATAAAAATCTTGCTTTACTTTATAGTTCTAAAAAGAATTGTAGAATTGATAAACCAATTCCTTAAGTTAAAAATAAATTAAAAATTCATTCTACAAAATCTATTGATGTAATCATTTCTTAACGATTTAAAGAAAAAAAATATGACAAGAAAAATTATTTAACAATGTTAAATGAATAAAACAAAATAATATGCATGCGTAGATACAAATTTATAAAAAATGTAACAAATTTAAGACAAATCTGCATAAGAGTATTAGAGTTATCTAAGTAAGCATTTTGAAGACTCAAGAGTAATGAACAGAGCAATNCATAGAATTGAATTCTAAGAATCATAATTTGACAGTAAGATGTCATCAATTCTAGACAATTCTTTTTCAAAATTCTAAAAATCCTTAGATAAACATATTGAAATAGAAAATAATTTTTTGCATACATTTAATTTAAAAGAATTAACAAAAGAATAATTGTTAAAGAAATTATAATAATTGTAAAACTATTGATTAGATATTAGAAACAAAGGTGTCAAAAGAAACTTATTAACTGAAAATATTTAATCAAATGAATCCATTCCAAAAGTCAGTTTACCTGCAACTTTTACATCTGTAATCAATTAAAATTTATCAGAAAGATACATAGATCATAAACTGAAAGGAAATATTCTAAAGCTTAATCTCCATTATCAGGTTTATAAACTTAAAGAGAGACAAAGGCAAATTTTACAAAGACATTTTAAAGGTGGCAATAAAATTAAAAAAGCAATAGATCACTTTAATAAATTTAAAAAATAAAAGAAGATTAAATCAAATTAAAACCTTCTCTTTCAAAAGATTTACATAGTTTGAAAAATATTGGTACATTAACTGAGATAGGATAAGCTAAATATAAAAAGAAAAGACATATGACAAATTATAGTATAATCAAATACATAAGTGGTTTTGGTTGATATCTATTTGATTGATTGATTTCTTACTTAATCATAAAAAATGGACATAAAATTTAAGTTATTTTAATATTTATCAAAATATGAAATCTCAAAGAAAGAGTCTAATAAAAGACATTTAAGCTCACTGCCCTCTAATACTTAAGTATAATAAATCATTCTATTAAGCGAACCAGTTGGTATTGTTTAACCATTTTGTAGAAAATTATATACAAAACCATAAAATGATTGGAAAAATGTCGAATAATATTTAAAGTTGAGAGAAATGAAATGTGATAAAAATCTTGCTTTACTTTATAGTTCTAAAAAGAATTGTAGAATTGATAAACCAATTCCTTAAGTTAAAAATAAATTAAAAATTCATTCTACAAAATCTATTGATGTAATCATTTCTTAACGATTTAAAGAAAAAAAATATGACAAGAAAAATTATTTAACAATGTTAAATGAATAAAACAAAATAATATGCATGCGTAGATACAAATTTATAAAAAATGTAACAAATTTAAGACAAATCTGCATAAGAGTATTAGAGTTATCTAAGTAAGCATTTTGAAGACTCAAGAGTAATGAACAGAGCAATTTCATTCAATCTATCAAGCCAGTCTCCTATATAACTATTTTAAAAACTTAGAAATATGTAAATTTTTCTAATTATATTTTAGGAATAAAAATTCTGTAATATATAGATAAAATTAATAAAATGATTTAAATTAAAACAAGTAAGATAATTCAAAAAATATAAAAATTGAAGTAATAAAAATTTTAATCAGATAGACTACTATGCGAAGTTCGGAAGAACAAAGCCGTTTAGAGATATCACCAACTACTTTATGTGATGATGGATAGAATCATAGAATTAAGAATAAATTGAAGTCTTTGATTTGTCCAATATCATAAAACTAAATCACTAAAACTAAATAATTAAGTTTACCTTATTTTTCAAAAAATTAATTATAAATTAAGAAGAATCAGTTTTTCGTAACAAATCAAGATTGTGAAAATAATCACTCTTTAGACAATAATAGCAATATAAATTCATTAATACAAAAAAAAACATCAATGTTTAGTAGAGAAATGAAGAGATTTCGAATATCAACTGAATATTGACAATTTTCAATTAATGTAATTTGTGTAATTTCATTTAATTATTAAGAATTTTCTATCTAATAAGATGGTTTAACATTTTATAATTGAGTTTTTATTCCTCTATATATCTTAATTACGTCTTTATAAAAAAGTAAAATAATTTATAATTTTTTGAATTAAAAGAAAAATAAAAAAAAAAAATTACAAAAAATATTTTTTCAAAATAAACTTTTTGAAATTAAAAGATTTTGAAAACCTTAAATAAATATTTTTAAAAATTATATTATTAATATATCAACTTAAATCAAACCCTGAACCTGATTCTTTCAAAGATTTTAACAATTTCTCTCTTACTATTTCCTTAGAAGAGTATTCTGGTAAATCAATACGATTAAAACTAAATAAACTTAAGAATAATACCATGCATGAGCTTTAATGAAATGTTCTTTATTAAAATCTTTTGAAATAGAGAATTTTCTTGGACCATTAGGGCCTCTTAGATTTTTAAATCCTCCAAATGGAACTAAGGGACTCCCTGTTGCGAACATCAAAAAATCAGCTTTTTCAGAGTCACTTAAGGTTGTTAATACTTCCCAAAACCATACAACTGTTTAATTATTTTTCTCATAATTTATATATTCTGTATTTGCCTACAAATCATCAACTAAAATTAATAATAATATATTATTACCATCAACTGAAGGAACTCCTATAATTAATTTCTAAAGATCTCTCCAATCCATATATGAGAAAAACTCTTTAGGCAAAATATCAAAGAAACCCTCTCTTAATGCTTATATTTAAGTTTTGATTTCTTCCAACATAATTCTTTTACTTATAAATTCACATATTTATCTTTTATGTTTTATTGATACTAAATTAATTTGTTTTTCAAACACATCTTATAATTATATATGTTTTAAAACTTCATCATTAAGTTATTTTTTTTTATTTTTTCTAATTAGTCTTTTCTTTTCTCTATTTTCCATATCTTCAGCTGTTATGTCTTCTGATTACTTCTTTATTTTAAATTCTTCTTTCTCATTACTCTATCTTACTTCTGAATCCTCTTTTAAAAGTGGAATCATATCTTCAGATTCTAATAAAACTTGAGATTTTTATTTTTGTTCTTTTTATTATTCTTCCATTTATTTTTGAGATTTCTATACTTATAGCAACCTTAACTCTTACTGTTATTAAAGATGCAATAACAATTATTATTATTCAAATTATTCCCAATTAATTTCTAATAAATTTGATTCATGTTAATCAATATCATCCCATTTTTATTAATAGGAACTTTATGCCATTAATTATAGTTTCTCCTGTTCTTGAATTATATATTAATCTAACAATTATTATTATTATTATTATATTAATAGTTGTTAATTTTTTATTTCTTCTTCAAATGGTTTTAATCCGCTAAATTATATAGTTGAATAAAATCTTTCCAACTCTTTTTCTTACTCTAAATCTTATTCTTATTATTATTATTATTATTATTATTATTTTTATAAATCTTATAATTATTTTTCATCTAATAATTTTTCATCTAATAATTTTTATTAATCTTCTTATTTTTTGTCATCTGGTTACAATTATAAATCTTATTATTATTACTTCTCTTATTATTATTATTAATCTTTTTATTATTATTATTAATCTTATTACTATAATTTCTCTTATTATTATTTTTAATCTTATTATTATTATTCCTCTTATTATTATTATTTCTCTTTAATTTATTATGAATCTTATTATTTATCTTATTTTTATTATTCATCTAATTCCTATTGTTAGTTTTACTATTCTACATTTATTTATTATTCTTCTTTCTTAATTTGTGAAGCCTGTTATTAAGAATCCTATTATTATTATTATTGTTCAGATAATTATTCTTATTTTAGCTCAATTGGATTCTTTTCTATATAATCTTAAAGAAGATCAGCAAATATAAGTTTTTTATTTTATTCTATAAGATTAGCATATTCTTCTGGAATCCAAAATTCAAATAAGTCCTTATATTAAACTTAAGTTTCATCATTTAAAAATTTAATGAAAGTATCATAATATCCTTCGTTAAAATGTTCAAGATCATCAAAACTAGGCTTTTTTTAAAGTATTTGTTTAAAAATAGGTGAAATAAAATAAACAGGTAGTAGTAATCCATCATAAATACCTTTAGCAATAATTTTGCCTAAAAGTTTATAATGATTTAAATCCTCTTATGCTTTTTTATTTGGATTAATTTTATAGAATCTTTTAGTGGTTAATTCAAATTTATCTGTCTATTAGATATCCTTAACAAGATTAGTCATCCATTCTTTTCTAATACCTCCTTCATCTTAACCTCTTTCTCCTTAATATCTAATTTTAATATCACATTTCCTAAACTTAGCTTTATCAATATTAATAACTTTTTCTAAAGATTATTAAAGTCTTGTTTCTCTAGCTACATTTATCTCAATAGTATCATTTTATTTTCCTCTTGATCGAGTATTAGGTTTTTCAATTATTTTTAGAGCTTCTAAATCTAATTCAAATAGATGCTTTTTATTTTCAAAAGATATTATTTAACTCATTTTAAAGAAAACAAAAGCTAAAGGATCAGTCTCTTTGAATAATTTAATAAGATTAGAATTTTAATTCTATTTCTGATCAAGTGTAATTTAGTAAAGCCTTTAAAATATTAAATGGTTGATAAGTCGTTTACCATTAATGCAAAGATATGTAAATAATTCATCTATTTTCATTTACATTTCATTCTCATTTCTAACAGAAGAAAATGATCTTTTCAAATGAATATTTTATGTTTATAATAAACCAAATTATAATGAGTTAGTAGCAGATCCACTAGTATTACGTTCAAAAAAGTTTGGATCCAAAGTACTTTATTATAAAGGATCTGAAGTATTAGTATCTTCATATACATTTTAATAAAGTCTCAAAAAACATTCTAAAAGAGGATATAGTTTTTTTTATAATAATTCTAAAGATCTATGACCTTTACAATTGAAAATTAATAACAATGTTTCAACAACATTCAACCATAAATGATGTGTTTATCTTGTTTATAAAACATTTATAAATTATTTTCGAATATCTTTTTTAGTTAAAACATCAACTTCTGATGTTTCATCAACTAATTTTCCTTATTAATGCATTTTAAACTTTTTTTTATCTTATTAAATTTATTATCTCGTTTATGTAGAACTAGGTTTGTTTGTAGATTATTTTTATTACTCTTAAATACTTAAATTAAGATTTAAAAATCCTGTGATTGCAATAAAACATCTTTAAATAACAGTAGGATCAGGTGTTTTTTAATTTAGTTCTTTTATTATTTCATTCTCTTGTTGAGATAACTATTATTATATTTCTGGATTTTACTCTGGTACCTTTCCTCTTTGACTATTAATTTCTCTTAATTATTTTCTTTTTCTATCTAATTCATAATTGAATATTTTAGATTGCTGAATTATATATTTTGTCAATTCATTAATAGAATGTTCTATTTTTAATTTATCATTTGCATATGTATTAAGCACATTAATAATTTCTGTAGAATTGCAATCTCTAAGTAAAGGATTACTCAGAATTTTACACAGTGCTGTTATTATATCAATTTCAACATGTGAGATTTTAACACTAACTTTTCTCTCTTTTTTTTATAACTTTGAATCTGATTCATTTATATCATCATTTACAATTTCACCTTATTATTATTATAACAACTATTCCTGAATAGGCTATGTTTAATTAATTTATTGTGAATTTTTATTCTGTTCTTTCTATTGTTATTATTGTTGTGAATCTTACTTTTATTTTTATTGTAAAATATTTTCATAAAAGTTTTTAATTTATTAACTTTAATTCTAAGTTTGCTCATATAAATAATCATTTACTTTAACATATTTCTCATAAAATTATTTGAATTATGGATTCTAAGCTTAAGTAGCAGCCAATAGTTAGAGGCGTTATTATTATTATTATTACATTAATTATTGTTATTACTAAAGTATTGAAATTGAAGGAATTGGAGGAGCTTATTATTAAGAAGCTTAAGATAATCCGTTTACATATTATGGAGGTAATGGCATTGAAAAGTAAGATGTATTTTACATAGGAAATCTTTATTATTATTATTATGACTATTATTACTATTATTATTATTATTAGAAGAGTTCATTTTATCTTAAAGAAAAAGGCTGTTTATGAAAATACTATAATGATTCCCAATTATCAGATTAATTATCAGAATATCTATCAGTAAATGTTTTGATTATTAAGTCTTTTAAATGGATATCTTCTTCACTTTTATCGAGTTAGGATACTATATCAAATAATTTATTATTAGTTTCATCTTGGCTAAAACTAGTAAAGATTGTAGCTTATCTTCTTTATATTTTTGATAAATAATCATCATCATACTTTTTATTTTTGTCTTTTGGATCTTCAATAGCAACCATTAATGAACCACGAATAATTTAAATTAAATAAGATAAATGCAATCCAGTTTGATTAGCTAATAAAGGAGTCAAAAGTATATCTAAAATATTAAATTAATTATACTTTTTTCTAAAGGTATGTAAGATTCAGGATTATGAAATAATTTCATAAATGAGATGTTTTTTTCACAATATATATTAATTTAATTAATTAGAAAGACTAGTGGATTTTCAGGATCTTCATCTAAAGGTTATTCATCTACATTTTCTTCTTCTTCAATAACAAATTATTCCTTAATTTCTTAGACTTTAGCAAGATTGGCCTTTTCCCTTTTATTTAAAATAGGACTGATTTATAATTGTTCAGATAATAAATCTCTTAGATTAGTTGATGGAATTTTTTAGCTTACCAAATATAAGATTTTCAAAGTAAGATCTAAATTATTTTTCTATTCTTAAAATAATAGTAACAATTAAATTAATAATTTGAATCCAAGACGAGAACATTTAGTAATCTATCTAAATAAATTAAAAGGAAACTATGGAAAATTGTTTGGATCTAATAAGAGATTTATAAATATTTCAAGTACTAAATTATCATAGATTAATATTTATTAAGGATCAGCAGACATTAATTATCTTTTAGGTACTTATAAAATTATAGGCTAATTTATAAGATGTTATTCAGGGTGTAATAAACTCTAAAGTTTTGCTTTAAGTAAATTTTAATCTTGTAAATCATTTGGCATGCCATTTAAAACAACTCTGCTTTATAGAATGTTACATGATATCTGACATAAAATTCTTTATTATTATTATTATGACTCATTGATATTGATAGACAATTAATTTGCTTGATAATCTTATTATAATTAATTTGGAGGTTAACCAAATTTAGAATAGAAACAAGAAGCACTTGCCTAAACTTATAAATGATTTAATGTTCCATTCAAATAATATTATAGATATTATTGTAATGAATCATTTTATTTGTTTCTATAATAATTAGAGGATAATAATAATCTATTAATTTAATGAATGAATTCAACAGTTATTTTGAGTTAATTTTCATAAGATTTTGAAATCAATTACTTTTTATTTTCAAAATATTCATTTAAACTATAATACAATCCTACAATGGATGTAATCCATTATTTATAATCATTTGAATTATATTAAATATTTGTTTTTGTAACTGTTAAGACAGGTAGATCAAAATTAATAATCTATGGATCAAGCTTACAGAATAGAATATTGAGATCTTTTTATGGAAAGATATTTTATTGATTATCTCTTTATAATCTATCATCATCTCTATTCATGTTATATTTTGACATAAAATCATTATTATCATAATAATAATAATCAGAACCCCATGAGTTTATATTAGAATAATTAACTTTGTATTTGATCTAATTGATATCTACTTAAATTATATCTTAATCTGAATCTGAATCACTTACATCCTCTTCTTATTATTTCTAATTATTCTATTTCTAAATATTATAATTTTTTCTTGATTGATATAATGGCCATATCAATTCTTATTAATGTTCATCTTTTAAGGTTTATTAAACTTATTAATGAGAAATGAAATGTTAAGCTGATCCTGGAATACTCTTAAAGTTTGGATAGAGAGAATAAGATATTAATTGATTTTTTAGACAATGCAAATAGTGATATTAAAATGGATTATCTTTAATACTTTATTATAATCTAAAAACATCTCCATATCTTCCATATTTAATATGATCATAATATATCTATGATTATAAAAATGGTTCAATAACCTTAGCTATAGTTTGATGATAAGTTCTAACAAATTGTGAGTTTTCACAATTCTTAATTGAATTTAAAGTATTAATCAATTAAGGAATTATATTTAATTATGATCTCTAATCTGTTAATAACATACAACAATTCTACATTGTTAATGTTTATGTAAACAATATCAATAATTATAAAATATGATAATATTTCTATAACATTTGATCCTAATCTATATTCAATTATAATTCATTCAAAAGTAACTACAGAACTTCTTAACCTATCGTAACTCCATATCCAACAGACAATAAATTAATATCACTTAAATAATTATGCATAAAATTAGCCAATTTATCACCACCAACCCAAGTCAAATATTTTATTACAAATTCTATGAATGTAATCTTTTTTTCTTCCTTAATTAATTAAGGTGGCAAAACCACTTACAATTATCTTAAATGTAATATCAATTAAGGAATCTTAATTATAAGCATTTCTATTATTCTTAATAATTAATCCCAACCATACAAATAAATTCTATTATCATCTTTATATTAACCCAATTCCACTTTAAATACTTACTCTATCAATCTATAATTCTCTTCAAAAAATCTATCTATTGTTGTTTAGGCAATAATATTCACTAAATAAATGAAATGTTCATTCAATTAGGGTTCTATTAATTAATCTATTTCAAATCTTATAACTATCTCAGTCTAAGGTTATGCCTACTATTCCTTTTCTTTCTCCTTCAACAATCTCTCCTATTCTTTTGTCAATTTACCTGTTGTTTGAGGTTATGATTATTTGGTATTATGAACTCTTTATAGTTCTGAAAATTTATCTGTTATTGATAATCCCTATTACTCTATCATCATATTATAAACAATCGGATTATTTATTAATACAGGATGATATGATAATAGATATTATAATGGACATTCAATATATTTTTGAGGAAATTATATCTGACTAAGATCTTCTGCATTTTTTAATTATTATGCATGCCAATCTATATGTTCATTAAGCATTACCTATTTCAAAACTTACATCACTAAATCATTAGCTGTTTTATTATCAACTGCTATCAAATATATTAAATTCTCAAGGAATACTGGTTAAGACTCTTCATATTCTAAATGACTAGTATACATTTTTAATTATAACAGAGTTTCAAACAGTGATTATTTATCACTTGATTATTTTTTTGTTAACATATTGAATAACTTATTTTGATTATGAAGTCCAAAATTATTTAAACATTGCAATAATTATGTTATTAATTATTTATCTGACATAAATCTTCTTTAAATTAATTATCTCAAATAAATCATATTTTATGATTAATCCCTTTCTTCTTTTAATGATTAATTATTATTAATTTATGTATCCAATTCATTAAGAAAATTATATGTTTCCTAGGCTTATTCCTACAATTCCAAATTTATTGTACAGACTTAAATTAGAAATTCAAGATATATAAGTATTTAACTCCAATATCTCTCTATTAATTAATCATGTTAATTTTATAAATTTAAAAAAAACTTTGTAAGGTACTTTTATGCCTCTAATATTTCTTTACAAAATAATTTAAGAGTATTTTATTTATTTTCATACAAATTATTCAGATTATTTGTTATATCTGAAACTTTATTACATATTTCTTAATAATTTAATTCTGAAATATTTATTGTTTTTAATTATTAAAGTTCATTCTTTCCATGTTTCGTAAATTAATCAAAAATATCATTGCTCAATGCAAAACCTAATGTAATCATGGATTAAAATGATAATACATGCTTTTATTATGGTTCTTAGTCAATTAAAGCCAAATTCTAGTAAATTTTTTCATGTTCTGATGAAGCTATCTATTATAATAAACTTAACCATTATAAAGCCTTCTAATATTATATCAATGTTATATTAAGATCCTATGAAGATTTATCCTATTTTAAGGGATTTAAAATCATGAAAATATATTCTAATATTCTATTTATATGTTATGATTTCTTAGCAATTGTAAATAGATATTCTAACAAATTACCTCCTGCTTTTTGGTTATTCAAATATTAATCTAAAAGTTTATGAAGATTAAGGTCTAACTTAACTTAGAATTCATTAATTAATGCCTAAAATCTTTCATTTATATTTAATGAAGTGTTGGCTTGAGGGAAATTTTGAAGTAAAATCTTCATGAATGATTCTTAATCTAAAACCTAGATTTCAGTTTATTTTTATTCTTTTTCTTATTCTGCCTCTATTTTTAATCTTTATTATTAAGCCAATTAATTTTAAATTAATTAATTTTATTCAGCATTTTTTAATTCTTAATCAAAAACATCTTCTTATTCTTCTTCATCATCAGAAATTCTATCATTTATTAACATCTCAACAATCATATGAGGGTCTGGAATTTCTACTCTCTAAATTGCTTTTATAACCAATTATTATTTAAAACCCATCAATTAAAAATCTTAAATGATAGCTTAAATCTCAGGCCTCTAAAACAATGATTATTTCTAATCTTATCTTACTTCATTTCCAGATAATTTTTAATTAAGATCCTTATTTCCAGTTTATTATTCTTTTGGTTCAACTCCAGCTAATTTTTTCATTTCCTAAACTTAAATATCCTTGATAGAATAAAACCTTTATATTAATTATTCAAGTAAAGTTTTTAAATTACCCTCACAATTATTATAGAGAAGCTAATCAATCATTTAATTAACTATTGATGCTTAAGCCAAAAATAATTCATTGCATACTAAATCTAATTATTAAGTATCTTATATCCATTAACCAGATAATTATATTTTATCTATGATAATCTTCTTAAAAATCAATAACTTAATAATGTTATCAATATGTTGATGTATAGCTTCAATAAATCCTGGTAAAATCTTTTTAGTTATTTCTTATTCCTTTGTTCCATTATATTATTATTATCTTTAAACACTATCTAAATGCTACAAAATTTCAATCAATTACAAAAAGAAATTACTATTCTAATAGCAAATAACTGTGAATTATAAAGGTTAAAATTATTATTCTAAATTTAAAAATAAATTTTATAGAAATTTAAATGATTTTAACATATCTTATAAATAAGTAACAAGTGATATAATTTATATTCCTTTAGCTTATTTAATTTATTAACATTTCTCTTAAAAATTCGAGAAAAAGAGTTAAATAATTTCACCATATTTTTTAATAATAAAATCTTTTTATTCAGCTGATGATTGTAATTTGTTTATTAAATCCAAACAAGATGATTACAATGGAATCAAATTATCTTTACTAATTCTTCTTCTTATTTATGTTTCTTCATCATAACTAATTTAACTCTTTTGCATCTATTACTTAGCAGACATAGACATCATAATGGATTCATGAAAACCTGCATGTTATGATGATAGAAAATATATTTCTAATAATTAAGAAATCATTAAATGAGTATCTTAACTTTATGGCACTCCCTAATTCACACACATCTTGATCAAATAATGAATCAAATGGAAACGACTTAAAATATAAAAACCTCTATATGTTTAAGGAGATATATGCTTAATGATTTTCCTAAAAAAGTATTTATCACTCATATGAATTGATAGAGCATCATAATCAACTAATTTACCTATATCAATAATCTTCTAATCTCCTATAACCATATAATTTTGAGAAATTAAATCCAATTCCTTCCATAATGATGTATATGGATTCAATTTATTTTTCTTACACAAAATTCCTACGTAATGCTCAACATAAGTATCCTTATTTTTACTTCCTATAAGAATTGGACTCATTATAATCTTTTCCAAAGCTTCTACAAATTTTTAATTTTTCAAAAGGGAATTAAATAAAACATCTTTTTATCTCTAAGCTTCTTCTAACTATAATTCTTCAAATCCCTAAAATGATCGATACGAAGATTTCTTCTCTGGTTGTAATTACATAAATAATTACAATAATGCTTATAAACTTTTTGAATAACTATAAAATGATTATAATTTATCTTAATTACTAACAATCTCCTCTATCTTATCTTTACTTAAATCTACTAATTAGGATATCTACATAAATGTATTTTCTATCACCTTCTCTATTTACCTCTTTGCCAACATACTCTAACTATACAACATAATAATTTTCTTTGCAAAATCATCACTTACTGTTGGATCATGTAATAATTCCACTGAAGGTAAATAACACTTGATAAATATTCTCTTTATCAAATTATCTTATTGTTATTGCTCTCCATTATTATTTGTTTATAATGTTAATTATATTGCTTATTCATTAGTACTTATAGCAATTAACAAATTTATTATTGTTACTATTAATGGAGATGCTCTTGAACAAATCTTTAATAATTCAATAATTCTATTTATTAAATATTATAAACTATTGTTTTCATAGAATTATCTCACTCTAGCAGGATTCTCACCCATTGTTATTGCTAATAAAGTAATCAAATAAGTGTATAATGTTTCATTTGATTCAGCTGTGTGTAAAGTATCTTCCAAAACCTTATTTGACCAAATCTCTGCAAGCAATTTGTGATATCTTTCTGGAACTGGCATCAAAAATTCAGATTAAGCATTCTGTATCTAAACCTAATCAAATTCTTGTTTATAGTATGTAACTAATTAATTTAACAATTAAAATGCTCTGATTTATAATTAAAGCTGCTATTTCTTATTACAGTTCTTAAGTATTTCTACTAAACCTTGAATTATCTAACTTTCTAATTAATAATCCAATTATTAGTTTTAGTTATTGCATGGTAATTCTGTTATCATACTTATACAATAACTTAAAATTGGATTTAAAATATAATATGGTAACTTAGTTTCTCCATCTTATCCAAATGATTTTCTTATAATTTGTATTATTATGAAATTCCATTATGTATAATTAGGTTATTTCTTGAAAATCAATGTAAATTATGGATCTGACAATTACTAGAAGAACAACTATTATAGTTTAACATTTAAATTCATTCTATTATCATATAAATTTCCTTCACTAATTTGAAGTTCATTCTTCCACCAAACTAAGGTGTCTTAGATACCTTATAATTCAAATAACCATAATTTTTCCAAGAATATGTTTTGTTCATATAATGATATCTACTTTGATTTTATAAATTAAAGACTCCCAACTAGAGTATCTTCTAGTTATTCATCCTTATTACTAGCTATCATTCTTATTAATAAAAATAAAAAGTCTTTCTAATCAATCAACCTATTTGTAATATCTGACATATATTTATGATTAACAAATTGTAAATCTGAGAAAGTGCATTTATAATGAAATACATAATTGGAAATAAACATCTTTTATAGTAATTATTCATCATAAGAATATTAGCAAAGTAAACGAATAAAAATTTAATCAAAGAGGATACTATCTTTTTATATTTTAATTTCCGATGCTATTTATAAGCTTTACTCTAATGGATTTTTAGTGTAATCAAAAGGAATGTCTAAAGTTACTGGTGGAGATTTTAATATTTTTCTGAAATTGCTCATCTCCAAATATCTTTAATAATTATTCATATCATCATTAGGAATAGTGATTTTGAGATTGTTATTATCACTTGAAAAATGAAACAATTCCTATTATTCCTAATTTGACAAATTGTATATATTCTTTTATAAAAATGCATTAATATACATGAACTTTAAAAATATTCTCTCGAATTACTCGACTAAAATAAAATAAATCAAAAAATTACTTTTAAATTTACATGCTTTAGAAGTATTCATTGATTCAATTAAAAATTGCATGCATTATACCAATTTGTATATTTTATATATTTCATAATCTGGATTGTGAAATATCAGTATTAAAATATGTTCATAACTAAAAAACATGTCAACTTTGAAATATTATAAATTAAAATACTTATTTTTTGATTCGTTGACTTGATTATGTAATCACAACACTATAAACACAAATCCCAAATTTAAATAGAATCACATACACCGAGCAATTGTAAGCAGAGAGTTTAGTCTTGATCTTAAAACAAGGCAACAGCTGCTTCAAATATTGTGTCAATAGTTTCACAAATGATTCGTGTATACTTAGGATCTTGTAATTGTTTGCATTATGCAAAATCTTAAATTCTTTCTACAAGAGGCTTGGTCGTGGTTTCAATCCAAGAGTAATCAGTTTAATCATAATGCCTAGATTTCTTGTATCTTTTAACCATGCTTTCAAAGTAAGCTTAAGGAATTCTCATCTTTAATTTTAATTAATGAATAATTGTAATAATTTAGTTATTTATATATAAATTTAGCATAAATAATTTATTTAAATAATAATGCTCAGATTGGTGAGCAGAGCTAGGTTCTGTGTTGTACAACGAAATTTCTTCGTTGTTCCTCCAATGTATCCAGAAAAAGAGGATTTTACATACAGACCTAAAATTACATCTTATGATGAATCAAGAAAATAAATGAATTCTGTGTATAAAAAAAAATTATCAAAAATTAAAACTAGAGTCACTTAGTATTTAAATTAACTCATATTAGACGAGTAAGAGAGCTTTAACCTTAATAAGAAAATAAATTAGATGCTAATTTAAAGAATAGTAAAGAATTACTTTAAAATGTCTTAAAACATGTCTATATTGATGAAGAGACTGATTGTCCTTTGGGATTATTTTTTGATGATTTTGTTTATGATATCAAGACTAAGAGAGGACAATAATATGAAGCAGAATATAATCGTAAAGTTTCAGGATTGTTATCTTAAATGTTATTATTTTAACCTTTATTATTTAGAGAGTGATGTCAGAAACAGAGCTTTTGTAAACATCATAAGATTTATTAGTGAAGAGTGAAGCACCAGAGTATATAGCAAAAGCAAGAAAGGTTGTTTTTGATAGATTTTTGGAAGGAATAAAAAAATTACCAGAGGAGGAAAGAAAAAGGATTTTAGGTGATGATGATTAAGATTTTGAAAACAAATTATCAGATGAAGCAATTCTTAATAAATATGTTGATTATAATACTGTGAATGTTGTTGCCGAAGAATTAGCAAGAGAAAATCTGTAATAGGATTTAGAAGATTTTAAAATTTATGATCCAATTTATAATGATAAAAATCAATAATTAACATTTGGAAAGGCTTATTTAAAAGATTTAGATTTTTATGAATCAGGATGTACAGTTGAAGAAATATCAGATGATGAAAGATTATTAAAAATGAGATATATTAGACCTTCAGATGGTTAAGAAGCTTTATAAACAGAATAGTCAATAGTTGAGAAAGTTAATTTAAATTTTGTAAAGAGAGCATATTTGAAAAGATTGGCTAATGCTAATTAAGAAATTAAGGAACCAAGGAAATTTATAAATAATAGAGATTAAGCTTTATTCGAATAAAAATAAACAAGAAAATATTTTTAACATTTAGATAAATCATCAATAAGATTAGATTTATAAGCAAAGAAAATTGGTAAAAGAATAAGTGATCAAGTGAAATTCTAAGATATTGTTGAAAATATTGATTATTTGTTATTAGGTGCTCCAAGATTTTTAAAGAAATTATATAAAGATCCAAATAATAAAATAAAAGGATATGAATCAGTATTTTAAGATATTGAGAAGAAAGGATAAAGTTTATTTTGGAATGATTTTAAATCTTCTTTTTAGGCAATATTTCCTTATGTAAGAGAAAATAAGAAGTAAGATAGATTTGTGGATATAAAAAAATAACCATATAATAGACAGTATAGAATAGTTTTATTTTAGTGTGAAAGAAATGTTTTAGGAAAAGGTTGATGAAGGGAAAAAGGATAAATATTAGTTTTCAATAGAATTATTCAAAGAATTTGAAAAACCAAGTAATATAGAATTCTTCCATCATTATTTAACAAATACTTTTAAATTAAATAGAGAATAAATTAATGATGGATTGTAAGCATTCAGTGATAATATAAATCCATATACATATGAAGTACCTAGTACAGCTATGATGGCAGATGATGTAGATCCAGATTTTAAAGATGTAGTTGAAGAAGATATTAAAATAGAAGATTTTAAAGAAAAGAGTGCAATTTAAATAGATTAATTAATTGAGAAAGATTACAGCGAATCTTCACTATTATAATATGTTGGAAGAGGAAGAAGAAAGTCATCAATTTGTTATGTTCAATTAAAAAAAGGAGTTGGAGAAGTAACTATAAATGGTAAAAACATTATCAATTATTTTACTCATCCTGTATACAGAAGAACAGCATTAAGAGTTTTAGAATTAGCTCATCTTTCTTGTTTAGTGGATGTAAATGTGTAATATTGTATTATTAATAATTAGTGTAATAAAAGGAGGTAGTTAGTCAGCCTAATCTTAATGTATGTGTTCAGCATTGAGTAGGGCAGTGGTTAAAATGTGTCCTAGTATTAAAGGAATATTTAGAAAATTAGGATTAACCCTTACTGATAATAGAATGGTTGAGAGGAAGAAGCTTGGATTGTATAAGGCTAGAAAGAAGTATCCTTATAGTAGGAGATGAGATGTTATTATAATTTTTATCTATATATTTATTTTTAAATAAAGAGATTAGATATAATTTGTATAATTTAATAATTTATTTTTATATAATAAAATTTCAATCTTTAACTTAATCAGAAAGCACTGCATTACTTAATTTTTTTTTTTATTTTTATGCAGACTACAAAATATTTAATTAAAGCAACTAATAATCTGTGTTAATGAAAGGTAATCAACAAATTGTTGTTATTATATAAAATTTTTTTGTTAGTTAAAAAAAATTTGTTTCAATCAATTAAGTTTACTTTTATATTAGCAATTTGAACTTGTAATAAAATAGCAATCTAAAGAATTATTTTACTATAAATAT